GGAGCCACGATTTTACATGATGCTTTAGACTGTTATTCCCTAACAATCCAGTATGGTATTTCGTGATAATTTGATCATTTCGTTTTGTGATGTTTGCAACTGTTGTATCTTTCCTTTAAGCCTAAATGCTACCTTCTTACCTCCTGTGGTGAAAATCTTTTTCACAGTAAACAGCCAAATAAAATCCCAAATATGTGATACACAATTTCACATTAGTCAAGGTCACAAAAGTGCGAGTAAAATTGCCAAAAAGCAATATTGGTCGTTCTATGAATTTAGAGTCCAAAATATTTCCTGTCCGTGTTAACCTCGGTACGGTACATGTACTTTGTAATTTGCAATTCAAGAACCATAAAAAATGACTTCAAACAATTTTGTATTTGTTGGGTAGGTAGTTTGCTATTCATAATCACTCTTAGGACAGCTGCATTAATCAATTCTGCATCAGAATTATGAAATTGTAAGTCAGATGTAACAGGGACAGATTAGAGGGCCCCAAAGCAATATTTTCTCCAAAAGCAATATAGTGTCCAACCAACATGCATCCATCAATGACTTTTCATTAATTTGCAAGAAAAACGAGGAGCGACTGTTCTTATGAGCATGGAATGTTTCCAAGGTTGATTAGAAATAAAATTACATTAAAATTTAATCAGAGACTGTACTCTTTAAATGGCACTGACAAATGAAAAAAAATAAAATAAGATTGATGACAAAAAGTCCAACCAGCGAAAGCGGCTGCAGTTGTCTCGCACTGTACCGATTGTAAGTTTCCCGGCGAAATCACCAGAAAAAGGACGGAGCCTCGCTCCACTTTAATCAATGCCAGGAAGCGATGGCATCTGCGAGTGGCCCAAATGTCAATATTGAACAAACCCTCATCAAAAAGAACTCGGCACGCACAATTTGCCAAGAGTGTCTCACTTCATTTTTTTTTGTCATGACGGTGCAGGTACTCGGAGAGTCGGAGCCGTGACAGCAAACATCCGAGGTTCGGTCGACATTTTTCATTTCGCATTTTTTTGTGTATCACACTGGTTCGCCTTTCCTGGTATTGATTTTTCGTGAGCTGGGGAACGGAGAGAGTCGTTATCCAAGTCAAGGTTTTTGCGACAAAGGCGGACACGGAGCTCGTTAAAGATTAAATGCGAACTGATTTTTGAAATATGAACGACACATCCATCATCAAAATGTCAGGGCTGAATCTGGAAGACGTCAATTTGCGGAGAAGACATTCTCGGTAAATCTATTGTGGCCACAGTGAATCTCTTGGAGCTTTGTTCACAGCTTCGTCTACAGCTGTGTATAGTCTGGCGCTGTTCTTTGATCACTCCGTGCGTGAACAGAAAACCAAATATTTAAAGATCCTCATTCTTAATGATTGGATCGATCCATGAGAGCGAAAACACGGGCCGGTGTCTCAGCAGACACGTTGTGAACATTTCAAAGACAGAACTCGTGCGAGATGAGACGGATTTGAAGTTGAATGTGCATTGTGGTGGAGGCTTGCAGATGAAGTCTGTGGCAACTTCAAAACCGATAATAGTCTTTCCGAAAGGAGCAGAGATAATCAAACGAGAAGAGCTTCCAACCCAGAATGGACCAATCAGTGGATAACTCTACAGCCGACGGACCAATCAGAGCAAAGCAAAGCCAACAATAGACCAATCAAGGGACAGCTCTCATCCAAGCATGGACTAGACAATATACAATCCTCTGTGAATGGACAATCAGGAGACAATCCTGTAAGAATGGACCAATACTGAAGTAGTTTAGAGGCAATGGGCTGATAGTGAAACAACAGACCAATGAAGTGACAGCTCTCATTCAAGCATGGACCAATCAGGAGACAATCCTCCGAGAATGGACCAATCAGGAGACAATCCTTCTCTAAGAATGGACCAACCGGGATACAATCCTCTGAGAATGGACCACTCAGGAGATGATCTTTCTCTAAGAATGGACCAAACGGTGTTTGACTCATGTACGAAGGTGCGTGGGTTCGAACCCTGCCAGGAACACGGTGTTTGTGCCCTTGGGTAAGACACTTAACTACAATTGCCTCTCTCCACCCACGTGTATAAATGGGTACCTGTGAGGGTCGAGGACCGATTGAGCGCTGATATCGGCTGCCGCGTGGTCCCATGGCCTGATGAACGGGGTAATAATTGTAAAGCGCTTTAAGATTGTTGATACGATGGAAAGCGCTATATAAGCACAATTATTAAATTATTATTATTATTTAATCCTGGAGTACTTTTGAGGCAATGGTCTGATGAGAACTGCCTGTAAACCAATCAGGGTACAGCTTTCAGCAACGCATGGGCCAATCGGGAGATATTTAATATCCACAAAGGAACCAATCAAGATGCAGATCACCTCTCCTCAGAATGCGCGAACATGGAATGAGCCAATGAAGAGACAGCTACAAAAAAGACAGTGTTTTGCCAAGAAAGGACTTATTAATTAAAAACCTGAAATCTGTCTTGAAAACAACTGTAAAGTCTCGTTTCAAATTGGCACACTGCATTCAATTTTTGGCAAGCAGTGAAAACCAAATATGTGTTTGATATGGACAATTAATCACTTCACTGATATTGAAATCCAAGAATTCTGACAGTTGTTCATCATGAATGAATCCATGCTGACAGATTCAACTGATGCAGCACCGGAGTTGTCTTTGTTCCTTATCGCCCTGCGAACCTGCTTCATCGTGATAGTTTTTCTGATCACCGTTATCGGCAACGTGCTCTCCATAACCGTCACGCAGCGCACGACGGACCTGGCCGACAGCACCAAAGTCCTGATGACGACGCTGGCCGTTTGTGACCTCACGGTGGGGGTCCTGCACTGGTCCAGCATCGTAGCCTCGGCCTTGGACTACTGGCCGTTCGGTCAAGCGTACTGCGAATTCCACTCCATTTTCATCACCGTCTGTTTCCTGATGTCCATCTCGTCCATCTTGCTGATCAACTCGGAGCGATTCGTCGCTGTCGTGTGGCCGTACCGGTTCAACGTCTGGTGCTCCAAACGTCGCGTGATCGTACTTGTGATCGGCGTGAGCGTGGCGTCCGTTTTGAGCGTCATGATTGCTCCGCTGTTGGGCAAGCGTTCAATCTATTTCGAAGTGGCGGCTATCTGCACCATGGAATACACCAGCAAAGCATACCTCGAGGCAATATTCCTCTGTCTAGGAGATCTCATCCCGGTTTTTTCGATGACCATGATTTACTACAAGCTGATCAAAATCAGCCGACAGCACGCTGAGAAATTTAAGGAGAACTCCTCTACCATGCGGAATGTTCGTCAGCGGCCTCTGAATGAAAACAGAGCTCTGCGGACCTTCCTAACCGTTACGTTAGGCTTCTCCGCCTGCTGGACGCCCTCGCTTGTTCTGAGGTTGATTTTCGCAACGCGGGGAACCACTATGCCCTACTTGCTTGAGTTTGTGGTGCACTGGCTCGCCGCCTGCAACAGTTTCTTCAATGTGATAATATACTGCGTGTTTAATCGGTCGTTTCGACGGATTGCGAGGGGGATGATTGCTAAAGCCTGTCCTTTCTGCAAGATCTCGGTCGCTCCTATAGACATATCTTCCACACAATAGAAACTGCACGAATCTTCTTCATTTTGAAAAGCATAGTTTCAACAACAAAAAACCCCAGTTTTTGGACGATTCAAAAAAACGGAACCCAAACCAAACAAAATATATTTCATATTTTAAAAAAACATGTAGCACCAAAAATAATTATGACTGGTAAGCCAATGTAATAAACTACTTTTTGATGAAAAAATACTTCAGTTGCTCAATCCGTTCAAATTATATCACCATTTATGAAATGACCCTAAAATCTGTATCGTCCAAAAGTGTGATTTCAAGAATTGTCGTTACAATTGTCAAACATCACCAGCGATAAAACCTCAGTTTAAAAGTTAAAAATATTCAACACAGTTCTTTTGAAGGCCCGTGTTAAAAAAAGAGTGGATTTTATAAATCCTATTGTTAGCCAAAGCGGGGTTGTTAATAAAGCTATTGTGTACTACAGTTGTTAAAACAAGTATTCCGTTTCATTTTTGTTGTTGTTCCAAACAGTCAGAACAAACAATAAATTGCTCTTTTGGACGAAACTGATTTTAGGGTTACATGTACTTCATTTAAACAGAGATAAAATTTTAACGTGTAGAGCAATTGAAATAATTTTCTAACTTAAAAGTAGTTAAATAAATGATCTTCCAAGTCATAATTAATTTTGGCGCTACATAGTTTTTTTTATATGAAATATAATTCTTTGTTTTGGGGGTCCGGTTTTTTTTACTCGCCGTGTATGTAGAGTCAATCAAAATTTATACCAGGCATGCAACTGGGAAATCACAAAAATTAGAGGAAATTCAAATTTTTCCCAGACTTTGTACAGTGTTTTTCTATTTTCAATGGCACACATGGGAAGTAACAAAAGAGGAAATCAGCTGATCCGAGGAAAAGTTGCATGCCTGTTATACTTCTGGAATTCTGGTGCAACACTTAAAAATATATGATATGACACGGCCAAGGAAAAGGCAATGAAGGCCATAGCTATGAAGTCATTACTGTTTGCCATTCACAATGCACATGCAAATGAATGTAGCTGTTTTGAATTCTTGAAATTGGAAAAAAGTTGAATTAAAGGTGCATTCCCTGTGCTATTTTGGAGTTTCACTTTGAAAACCAGATTTGTTTTTCCAATTGCTATTTTCCTAGCAGTAGCAAAATCAAAGGTATTCACTTTTGAATTTAAAATAATTTTTCGTTACAATTAAAACACACAAATTGAAAGTTTGTCTGGAGAAATATTTTTTCCATTTTTTGAAGGGCATGGAGTATGCATCTTCTTCTTTTAGAAATACACCTTTTCATTGGAAAATTCCTTCATTTCACATTATCTGCACACTGTTGCAATGCCCTGTAAAAAGTTAAATTATGTTAACAACTCCAAAAAGAATCTCAATAAAAAAACACTTACTTTTTAGTCTTTGGTTTTGTGGATGGCCTAGGGGGTCTGCCTCTCCCTCGTCCGCCTCTAGAGGGCCTCACATCTGGTGTGCCCCCTCCAGGCGGGGTTCGCAAGGTGAGGGAGTCTATCATTACTCGGGCGATGTGGATCCTTCCTAGTAACGTGAGGCGTTGAACACTTAATCCGTCGGCAGGATTTACTAGAGGACAAAGTATGAGAACGAATTGTGTTAAACTAAAGAAAAGAGAAATATAATTCAATTGTCACGGGTAGAAAAAGAATACCCCCATTATTTTTTATTTTTCTTATTTATAAAGAAGGAACTATTTTTTTCTCATTTTATTGCACCACTATCCTTCCGCCGAACTATTTTATTGTTTGTCGCCACCAGCGGTGACGACTTATTCACAATCCACGTCGTCAGAGACAAAATGTCGAAGACGTTGTCCGCCATTTTATATTTATTGACGCGATCATTGTCTACGTTTGTGAGTTTTCTTCAGTTTGTGAATTTTCTTGTATTGATGTTAAATAATATAAAGTTATTCACAGAGACGAGTTCACTTACGTTTGTTCTCATCTCTTCTGTTACAGAATAAAATCTCAGAGAAAATTGCAGACGCCGTAATTTCTCCTACTTTATTCGGCCTCACTTTCCGAGTGTCACTCAATATTGGGTTTTCTCCTTCACTGATGTATGTTTATGAACACACCATACTCAAGGGCAAAGCCTTGTATTGAATTTAAATCACCCAATGCAACATTCCATCTTGTGAATAAAAATTAATTCTCAAACTCAATGAGTGCTTAACACTACAGTAGAACAAAATAAGTTGACTATAGTGGTTATTGGATATAAAGTGATCAATGAAATGAATTATGCATTACTTATTGAGTGCAATGTATGATATTAATTTCAATTCGGCATTTTTCCAACCAAATGAAAATAGTGATATTTTATTGAAGCAGCATTTACCGTCCGAGTCCTGTTTGAGTTTATATTGTTCATTGAGGGTAAAACAAAGCGTTGAAATTATAGTCAGAAACAGGACATTCACTGACCATTGTTGGAACAAATTTTGTACTAAAGTGAACTTTCTTATTGAAGTACATGTGAAAGATAGAAAATAATTGTTCAAGTCATTTTTGTCATTTAACCTGTTATAATAAGTGAAAACATATTACCTTCTTTTTCCACGAGAGGTTCTTGGAAGGATACCCTGGATGTCCTGCTTGCATCAGAGTCACTACTGGCAGCCTCGCTCATACTACTGTGCCGTCTCCTGAGCCGAGCATTCTCGCTTGCCTTCTCCATCTGCGAGTGCCTTGGGTCCGGCAGAGCTTTGGGTCTCTGGGCTGCCGGCCTGTTATCTTGGTCCTTCACTGGCGTGCTGTCTGTGGACGGCTGCTGCTTGTCCTTTCTTGAAGGTGGTCTCTGTAAGGAGGAAGGATTACAATTATCTTTTCTGGCTGTAGACAAATCCAGCGAGGCCATTTTCTGCGGTGGAACAAGGCTCGCGCGAGTCCTGCTCAGGTAGGTCGCACACGCTTCGGGCTCCTTCGACCAATAGGAATACCAAAATGCGCGTGCGCCTTGTCTAAAAGAACGTGTGCTGCATGCGCGTGAGTGAGACACCACCGCAGTAAAAGCTTGTAATTCTGGTCGCCAGATTCCACTATAGTCAAAGTATATCCTTAGGATATGAATGCAAACTGAAAAAAATTCAATTCACAAGGGACCTTTGCTTGTGTGGTTTACAATTTTCTGTGCAACTATCATTTTTGTTGGGCATTGTTTTCTACACCTCTTTGTTTCCCAAGAGCTCTTCAAAATAAACTGGACTGAATTTTGAAAACTTGATGCCTTTAAGAACAGTTTAAATTTTTGTATATTTATATAATTTTCTGTGATTATCTGTGGACCCTCGAACATAATGCTTCCAGTTTCCCTACTGACAGCCCCTACCCAAATTTTTTTATGAGAAAAATGAGGAAAAAACACCCAAAACCATCAATTTCTACCTTTTACCCTTGACTACACGCAGACGCCTCCATATGATCGTACACACACAAAAATATTTAAAAAAAACCAATTCCCTACCTACCTACCCTATTTTTGAATGCCATGTAATCGGAAGAAGAACTTTTTTTTTTTTGCCTAAACAGTAGAATAACTACATGCATTCACTTGTTAGCACACATGCGGTGAGCGCACTTGAGTGCACGTGCATGGCATCAGTAGCACTCAAGAGTCCACCGCCCCCATCTTTTTCGCTACTGAGCAGTAACTTTAACATTGATTCCATAGCTTGGAAGCAATGTTGATTACAATTTTAATTGTACCTACATAAGTACTTCCTACCTGATTGCCAGGATCACTCAAAGAGCTCTCATAGGGCCATCGTCGTCTCCTGTGCTTGGATGACCGACGTTTCTCGGTGTCAACGTCATCCTCTTCACTGCTCAATAGATCACTCAGACTACTATCACTGCTACTCCTCTATCAAGTAGGAAAAAAAACAACCAGTGCAAAATTACTTTTGTTCAGTATTGTGTGCTAACAAAGTACAAAATATAGCTGAAGACACAAGCAATGTTAAAGAGACGTAGGTTACAAATTGATAGAAACAAATTATTGTGAATTATGACCGTTGACTTTTTAAACTGCCACCGGGCCAAATCTGAATACAGTCGCATCAGAACAATGTCTATAAATGATGATTTTAAAAAGGTAGTCACACATTCTAGACAGTTGATAACAATAGACATACCGAGACCAAATTCTCATTGTTTGAATCTGTTCAAAAGTTGATATCAAGTTACCCAGTCACAAACCACTAAATTTTGGGTTTTACTTGTTGGGCCCGAAGGGGTAGGCTATTGTCCTATGACTGACTGACTGACTGACTGACTGACTCCCCGACTGATTGAGTCACTATTAAAGGGAATATACATCATTTGCTTTTGATGTAATTTTCAGAAATGGATGGAATTGGGGGGTTGGAAATATATAGCAAATATAGTTACACTGACTTTTTGAAGTTTGGGTTCGAAAATGCTATAAAAACCAAGAAAAACAATCATTTTCCTGTAGTCTGGTTCCCTGACTCCATTTAAGAAGAAACAGAGCAGTTTACATACATTTGGGAATTGTAAGGTCAGGGAACCAGTCTAGCTGGCTTGTACCCGTTCATAGGTGTGTAATCGATTGCAAACAAGTGCGATGGTCAACTGGGGCCAGTATTTAAAAAAAAGCCAGTTTTTTCCAACGCTGATCAGCCGATCAGCGTTGGAAATTGATACAAAAATACCACTTTTCTTAAAAATGACAGTATACCAGGCGCCATGATTTTACAGGATGCTTTACACTGTCATTCACTAACAGTCCAGCAAGGTATTTCAAAATGATTTGGTAGTTTTATTTTTTGATGTTTGCAAATGTTGTATTTTCCCTTTAAGTAAAAGTAATTTCCTAATCTGAGACTGTTGGTCAAACTCAACTTGGCAAGCCTAATCTTTTTTGGGGGATATTTTTGCGATAATTCTCACCACTCCCTTGTAGAAGAGTTCCTCCAGGATGCTCTGATCTCTGAGAGGATCCTCCGTCTCGCTGATGATGTCGCTCTCAGAGGAGACACTGGACTGAGGAGACAGCTCAGACTAGGGGGTGAAAGGTCAAAGCTTGAGGTCAAAGGTGATTGAAATAGGCACATTCATGGAAATGTTATATGCATTACCCAATTCACATTAAGAAACTATGAAATTTCATGGATTCGTGAAATTTGAAAGATAGGGTTACGGCTTTGTAGGATTTGAGATGGTTTTAAAGATTAACTAATTTCTCACTTTAAAGTTGAACAAGGGTTGGGTTTGAACCTGCAACCTCCGGATTGCCGTTCCGATACTCTACCAACTGAGCTATCCAGCCCTATGTTGGCTGTTCTCCATTTTGTCAATGTCTTTGTTCAACTATTTTCGAGAGAGTCTTACTGACACAGACGGGGATCTATTTCTTCGTAAACATCGTGCACAAAATGCATAGTATTTACCTGCAGTGTTTTGAGGTCGTTCAGCTCCCGCGTAGTGATCTGATCCCCAATGAGAAGCTCAATGGTCTGTGAATCGGTGATACTGTGTTCAAATCCGTTTTGTGCAGGGCTGACAAGCGCAGGGTTAGGGGTGTCATCAGTGCGAAGAATCTCACGGAAAAGCTCCCCAGATGAACGCCTTTCAAACGAGAAGATACATCAAGGTGAAAAAAAGTTAAAAATCATGTCATGGGTATTTTTAAAAAAAAGTTCTTCACTGAAATTAGCAACTGCACAATAATTTTGCGCTGGCAAGTATCTGAAAAGGTTCAAAAAAAGGTGGAAAAATATGAAAATGACCAATCTCATTGCATCAAACTTCACTAGCTGAAACATATTATTAAAAATGCTGTTTAACCTAAGCATATTTCATGTCTGATAAAATTGGCTTCAAATGGAAAAAAGAATATTACATGTTCACACTGTCCTTTCACCAAATTACAATCAGTTACATGTTGCACAGGAAATGCTGGAACTGTTGATTTCTGTTTGCCAGATCTATAAATCAATGAAACAGCCCTTATTTAACAACCTTATGCAAACATACATTATGTGCCAAGTTGCCCTTTCAGTTCAAATCAATCAAGTGACTGTTTTCAACAGGTAAGAGTTCACAGCCTACATAAAGCAGGATTGGCTGGCTGGGACTGTTTATGTAACGTGATACAGCTGTGCTTTGACTGGCGGTGATTGATAAGTCAGCTGGGCCTCAACTTGCTTGCTTTGTCTATTGACTGAATTTGACTAGTCACAGTGCTGGCTTGACGTATGATCTGACTGTTGTTGACTAGCCTGTATAAAAGGCATGGCAGGGGAAGTGGATTGAGCTTTTGACTGTCTGTGACTGTTTAAATAGCAGGAGGGTTAAAAACCCCATCTATGTAGTTTAAACGTTTAGAATGACGCATAGTTGTAATTGGGTCAATCACAAGTCAAATCACAAGTCCAGTCCCAAATGACAAGGGGTGAGTGATGATATATTTGTGAATGACTAGTGAAGGACTTGTTGATGAGTTGTGTTGACTTGATTCCAACTCCAAAATGAAGTACATTTCAAACGGCGTACCTTCTCACTGATTTCACGTATTCCCTTGTATCAACCCCATCCACTGGTGTATCTCCCTGTATCCTCTCAGGTCTTCCATGGGACCCTCCCCTCACGGCCGACGCGCCCCTGTCCAGCTCTGATCTGATCATGTTGTCCCTCAGCTTGGTGCCCCGATCCAGCAGTGCCGAGATCAGGTCGCTGCCTGGCTGGCTGGACGGATCCAGGCGGTGTTGTCTCCTCACGGACGCAGGTTCCGAGATTTCCTTCATTGCCTTCTCTCTATTTCGTCCTAAAATAATATCACACCAAGATGTTGAAAAGTATACCTTTTTAAAAATATGTAGCTTTAAATGAGCCTTCTTTCTAATGTCATGTTCGGCACTCTTTGGCATGGTTTAAAGCTATAGTCCATCATTTGCAGCCATCCGAAAAGTAACTGGCGTAATTACTGTTGAAAAACAAACTTGGTTGAAAGATAGTAAGGGAACTAAACTCCCTGTGAAATTATTCTTTCTGGGAAGCTGTCATTTTGAAGAAATCAACGAAAGAAGGCATTTCCAACGGTGATTCTTAAGAAGCACCGTAGGAAAATTTAAATTAGTAGTTCGTTTTGTTATTCAGCGCAGCACGCACAAGTATTGGAACGACGCACACGCGCACGTGGTTGTTATAATTCGTCGGATCAGTGCGCGACGCCGCGTATAGCTGCAATTCAAAACAATTCAAAACATGATTCAGTAACTTTTGATTTGAAATTGAGATCTTAGAATGCTGCTTTTCTCGGAATGTACAGCTGAAGCTTAGCTGAAACTTCATCAGGTTAGTTGCTCAGTATCCTTCATTAGATTTTGAACACTTTTGTTGCTTCAAACGAACAAAATGCACTAATTACAAATGATGGACTATAGCTTTAAGTAAGGTGCTATATATGTTTATTTATAAGTAGATTTTTTTTTTAAATAAAATGTCGTGGAGAATGTCCACTGACTTTTTTGTGCAGGCAACGTGTAGTTTACTTTCTGAATACAAAAAATACAACCAAAACAAAACAACAACAAAAAAACCACCAAGATTTGTGGAGAAGGGGTCTAGAAATTTGAAAAACACAGTAAACACTTTACATGTACCTATAAGCATAACCATCGCAATATAAAGACAAGTAGCTATCTTGATAAAATTAAGTGGTTGTGATTCTAATTGAAAGATTTTTTATTAGGCAGCAGTAACACATGTTTATAGGAAATTGATTCAGCCTTTTGTATTCGTGCATGTGTTGTCCAGAAGCTGCGTTTAGTAGCCCAACGGACCTTTTTTTGGCCCTAAGTTCCTAGAGTGTGTGAAAAATCATATCAAAATTGGAGGATTCAGGAATGTTTGATGTCATTTCAAATTAGAGGTACTGTTAATTTTATGAAAACTCGATTACTGATTTACTTTTAACAGCAGTGTTTGCATGTACATGAATTGCAAGCTTTTGTTCACTTGTAAACAAATTGTTTTATCTTACCTATGAGTGTTTCAACTTCGCTAGATCTTGTGTGGTCAGTATCCGAACTAGGAACTTTCATCACTGCATCATGGGCAGAAGCAGCCGTTTGGAACCCCGTTTCTGCGTCGGAGCCAATTTGATATTTCTTTTGATCGGAGGGTTTATCCGTCTTTCCAGGCCCGACAACAAAGCTGTAGTCTTCGTCCACTCCCCGTGGTGTGATGGTCTGTTGCGTGTCCGTGTGTCTCACATGGTGTGGCACCTGGGAGGCAGTTGATGAGAACAAGTCTATTAACCCTTTAGTCACTATCCGCTCCGTTCACAAGTACCCCCTCACCGGCAAAGAAAGTACACTCGGGGATGACCGAACGACACCATCGCGAAGCGCGGCCACTGCGTGTACATAGTACAAATCCCCTGGTGCACGTGCGTCACACACAAGGAACGGTGCGCACGCGTCAACCAGCGAAATGTATGTATCCCGCCCATGGGACGTCATTGCTAGGTAAAAGGGCGCCCTCTTTTGTTGGCGCACGGAGCCCATAGCACCCAAAACTGCCCTGCCTATTACTCACTGCAGCACCCGAAACCCCCCTGCCTATATTACTCCCTGTAGCACCCGAAACCACCGGAGCACGCTATGGCTTTATTGATTCTTCAGTGAATTAACACAATGTAATACAATGTACTACAAGTTCTAATGGGTTAATGGCTTAAATCACCTCTTTTCCAACGATGGTCAGCCGACCGTCGTTGGAAATTGGTACAAAAATTCCACTTTTCTTGAAAATGACAGCACACTAGGTGCCATGATTTCACAGGATGCTTGAGACTATTATTCACTTACAGTCAAGTAACATATTTCATACTAATTTGGTAGTTTGTTTTTTGAAGTCTGCAAATGTTGTATACTGCCTTTAAACACATACAGAAGTTTTTATCCACTAACCTTTGGTATTGGTGACATAAACGGGTCGTCGCTGGAACTGGACATGACTTTTCGTGGTCTTGGGGCTGGTAGCGGTGGGCCGGTCCGGACTGAGCCGGACTCAGCGGTCGTGCCTGTCCCTGCAGTGGCAACGCTCAGGTCTGTGGTGGGTATGGAGCTGGAGCTATCATAAGCAGCTGTTTGGAGAAGGAAAACTTGAGATAATCAATTGGTCAGAGAAAGCCAGGTTAATTTTATAAAAGATAACCAAAAAGATGAATATATTGTCTCTACCTTCACAGGTACCCATTTATACTCCTAGGTGGAGTGGGGCAATTGTAGTAAAGTGTCTTGCCCAAGAACACAAGCACCATGTTCCTTGTTAGGGTTTGAACCCACGCACCACAGCATGTGAGTGAACACCATAACCAATGGACCATAGCGCTCCACATATTTTTACCAACTATTGAAACACTATTCATCATCCTTATTTTTCAACAGATCTGTAAACATGTTGGTTAATTCCACCATTTCAAACAGTGGTGACACTACTGATTGTAGCAACTTAAACAGTTCTCTTTTGCACAAGAGTTGTCCAAATCTTCAAACCCCCTAGTAGTTCCTCAGGACTACCCTGCTAAATCCAACAGAGTCCAACCGGAGTTTCCCACTCAATCCACTGTGCCTTATTTGCAGTTGTCTGCTGAATCCAACGGAGTCCAACATAGTGTTATAATGCGGTTCAGTTGCCTGCTGAATCCAACATTTTACATCAGCAATGTACACAAGGGGTTTACTGCTCAATCCAACAGGCTCCATCGGGTATGTGATATAGTTTGATCCTGTTGGATTCAGCAGGGGTTAGGGTTAACAAGCATCTGCAAGTTTCCTCATTCTAGTACATTTGACCAAAACTGTGCTTGGACATCAATATAATTTGTTTTTTAATTGATAAAACCTTACCCGGTAAAGGTTCAAACACCAGAGAAACATGCAGCTCTGCTATTTTGTCCGCTGACTTATTGGAGAACACGGAGTAAAACCTACAAGAAATCAAACACCAGTTTCAGCTACACAACAATGTGTAAATTCAAAGGTTTATTATTCACACTAGCTGCGGTCCTATCCGATATTGGGCACACTCACAGAAATAGATCTGAAAATTGTCTGGGGGGGGGGGAAAAAGATCATATGAACTTTTAAGGAAAATTGTGTAAATTTCAAATTGAAGTTGTCATGTGAAACGTATATTTGGGAGATATAAGTTCACTTGTTTATCAGTCAAACAACACATCTGTCCATGATGTTTACTACAAACTTTTGTGTCAAATCTTACTAATATTGGATTTTGCCCTTCAGCGACATAATTTATAAATACTACAGCCTGTCTCAAAAAAAATTGTACAATCAGAAAAAAAAGTGGTTAAATATGAAATTTCAAAATAAGTCATTCTTACTTGGCATAATATTAAAGAACAAAGACTGGGCTTTCCAATAGTGTTTGTTTGATCTTATTTGCTTTTGTCAATTCAGAGATATAATCAATGTAGTGCGATACACCAAAATCGATTTTGTGCCACTTTTATGCATGGGCAGAGTTGTTTCGAGTACTGTGCCATGCTTGTCTTGAAGCTCACAAAAGATTGCAACTTGGCAAAAGAAACAAACTCGATTTTTGTGTTCCGCAGTAAACTGGAGTTATCTCTGGATTGACAAAAGCAAATGAGATGAAACAAAAAGTATTGGAAAGCCTGGTCTTTTTTCTTTAATGTGATGCTCAAAACGACTTACTTATGTTGAGATTTAATATTGAAAAAAAAATCGTTTTCGATTGTACCATTTTTTTTTTAGACAGGCTGTATATACTACTCAGTGTTGTTCCAAGAGATTGTGAGAAAAAGTCACAAACTACAAACCCACGACCTCCTGCTTACTAGTGCAGACGTCTTACCACAGGACCACCCCCAAGCTTGCCGGGGTCGGCTGGCTGGTTCGAATCTGATATACATGGCACAGCAGGTGTCGCAGCCCAACTGCTCATTTGACTTTTAATACTAAGTCAAATTTTATCAAATCTTATTTACATCTTACCCATGGATAGGCACTTGAGGTGCAAGGTGCCCGATTTCATTGATCTGGGCCTTGCCGATGGATGACATGCTGGGTCCCTTCAAGACCTCCAGAATGAGCCTCCCCATATGTGGACAAATGACAGTCAAGGAAATAATTTATAATGTTCGAAATATTCTCCAATAAGAGGGGTTTCTGCATGCATTCTTTAACCCTAACTTCCCAAAATATTGAAACGAACCTTCTTGAATCCTCTAAAATCCTCCAGTGTACAGAAATCCACGACAAGTTCTAGGTTTTTTTTTAACCTTAATGGGTGCAAGCGTTATATAAACTAACTACCTGGGGCTGTCATTTGCCTTGTCCTTCAAAATATCCCAAAACCTTCTGATTAAGAAGAGTCTAGAGAGGTTGTAAACTTTTGTTTTTAAGAGTTCTTACCAATTATTATAGGTAGATTCACAGTGACTTCTACAAATCTAACTATCTAATATCATTTTGTTCCTGGGAATGAAAATACTTTATACACAGATCCGGTTAAAAAAAAACGGTGTGTTTTTCTTTAGTATGCTCTTACAAAATAATGAAAAGGTAAAAAATGCTGCAACCTGACGCCACATCCGCGATTGTGTACAAAGTCTATGGAGAGTCAAGAAAATTTTCTAAGTATTTCCTAACAAAATTGGAAATGTTTTTCAGTCCAAGATTCACGTCTTATCATAATTTTTGCAATGAATGACCTTCATTGATATGATATATGAAGAAAAAAGTGGCGTCAGGTTGCAACATTTTTTTTCCATGAAAAGCTACAATGTAAGTATATTTTGCAGTGTGGAAGTTTCATTGTTGAGTTTGAGCGTGTCTATTATTACAAACGCTACTTCAAAAGGATATCATTGAGGTAGGCAGCAAACTGCTTGGGCCCACATCTGACTGGGTATCTGGCTACAGTTCTGGTAGCGACCTTCTGTGGGTTCTTGACATCCAATGGTCTGAGAATTCAACAATTGAAAATGCCATATTAATCATTTCTAAATTCACCTATTTTGCAACACAATTCTGCAGTGAAAGATTTTTCAAACGGTCTATCCGCTCCGTTCACAAGTACCCCCTCACCGGCAAAGGAAGTACAGTTGGGGGTGACCGACCGACGCCATCTTGCCTGACTGCAATTCATTTGCCGCGAAGCGCGGCCACTGCGTGTACACTGTAAAAATCCCCTGGTGTACGCGCGTCACACACAAGGAACGGTGCGCGTCAACCAGCGAAATGTCCCGCCCATGGGACGTCGTTGCTAGGTAAAAGGGCGCCCTCTTTTGTTGGCGCACGAAGCCCATACCTTCGCACCTAAATTTTGGTGATTTGGAACAACTAATGCTCCATCACCTACAAGGCATATTGTCAAATATGTACAGTATGTTCATTATACAGTCAGTGCGACAGTTCCAGATCATTGACGGTCCCAGATCACTTGATTAAATAAATATTAATTCAAGTGTAATCAAAAAAGATTTATGAGATTTATTTTCACCAATATGAAGGTCTATCATTTTGCAATTGTCGGGGAAAAGAAATGTTCAACATTACCCACAAACTGTCGAAAGTGATCCACAATTGTCGGGTTCAGTCCTGTACAAAAGCCATGATTTTAATATTTCCCTTTTTTGTTGAGTCTATGTGAACATATTTGGTTTTAAAAAAAGGTCGGTCTCTGGTCAGCGCGCGCGTTGATTTTAATAATGCGCGTCAATCTTTTTTATTCCAAAATGTTCCGCGGTAGCTCCAACAGCGCCCTCTATTGCTGCACCTCCTCAATTTTTTCTACCAAAGAGCACCAAGGAATGGGAAATTGCACCAAGGCAAATGATCGAGAGCACCAAGGCAAATTATGGAGGACACCAATGTACATGAGGACACCAAAAAAGCAAAATAGTACCCCACCTTGTCTGTTCAATCCAAGCTTGAGAAAAAAAAAAAAAAAAAAAAAAAAAAAAAAATGCGTCGCCACGTCAATTCGGGAACTTTGGTCTGACCAGAGACCGAATATTTTAATTTTTGGCCTAACCTGAAGAGGAGGAATTTTACTATGAAATGACGTCACTCGGACACCGAAACTCTGAACATGAGTGGGTGTACATGTATAAAAAGTGATCCGGAACTGTCGCACTGATAGTATGGTTAAACATCATACTGGTGCAAGGTTTGTCTGGGGCAAGGTTCGAACTTGTGACCTCCAGGAGATTGACGGTTCAAACCCCACTCCACTCACTTCCAAGTGGCTCAACCTGAATACCTGAATATACTCCCCTCCGAGGTCTCGCCCCACCATCGCAGTCTGACGTGGGTTGTGTCAGGGGGTTTGGCAATCTGCCACACAATCTTGCTGATGCTGACCCTCAGGAAGCATCTCAGCTGGCCGTCGACCGAGGGCGGTAAGCTGGTGGTGGCATGCACATCCTCTTTCAAAGCTGCAAAATGTTCGATAGCAGGTTGACAAAAAAAATGTAAACACTGAAGCACTTCTAGACGTATAATCCTCAATGTGGACATCATGTCCCCCTACACTAGTCTTTTGTTTAAACATTTCTACAAGCATACTTTCTTCTGTGACTTATTTTGGAAAGATTTCCATATACGAAGTTCATTCAACACCCTGTGTACAAACCCTATGAGATTGGACTGAAAAATTCTAAGTGTTTTCTAAGAAAATGGTTGTATTTTCTCACTGCTCAAATTGACTTTGATGACATGAAATTGCTATCTGGGGGCTTGTTAGTCAATACAGAGGAAAATTAGTGAACTTCGTGTAGGCCTACAAACATGTGTGACAAAGAAACAGGAGAAACAACAATAAGAATGAACACAGAAACATGTCGCTACTTATTCACAATATAGGCCTTGCACGTGACATTAGATTTGTAATGGCGGTAGCCTATGGACTGAATAAACAGGGCGATCGTGTGGTTACAGGCCCCTCTTTTGTTTTGATCAAATAAGAGTCAAGGGTGTTTTTATCATTAAAAAATGACCTTTTCAACCTAAAGCAGACTTCTCTCAACTCTATTTTTTTCTATGACACTTTTTTTTGTAATTTTAAACATTTGCTTGGCCTTGGGGTAGATATCGGAAAAAACTGTTGCAACCTGACGCCACTTCTGCGATTGCGTACAAGTCTATGGAGAGCCAAGAAATTTTTTTAAGTATTTCCTTACAAAATTGGAAATATTTCTCAGTCCCAGTCCCACATTCATGTCTTATCATCATTTTTGCAACAAATGACCTTCATTGAGATGACATATGAATGAAAGAATGGCGTCAGGTTGCAACATTTTTTCCTAGAAATCACAATTTTCGTATGCAGTTTACAGTTGAACTGTGCGATTCTTCATTTTTCTTGCGGGCGTTCACGGTACATCACAGTGATCGCCATCTTTATTTTTGTGTTGTTTTTAGTCGTCGTAATCATCATTTTACCCCCAAATTTTCCTTAAAAAATCGAAAGCCTGCCCTCTATCTATGGCATACCTGCTTCTTCAAATTATGGTGTTGCCAACTAAAGCAATGAACAATAGGCCCTATATATTGCCAATGCAATGAACACTCAACTGAAATGGTCGAGAAAGCCCGAATACTTACCACGTTTTCTTCCCTTCTTTAGAGGTTTTGTCTTCTTTTTCACCATATTTAGATCATTAACTTCAAACTCATAGAGGAGACATTGCTGTCTGGAAGTTCAAAAATCTGAAACATAATGAAACGAAACATCTTTTGATTTTACCGCAAAAAATTTAGCAGACGAAAATGAACCCTGCAATATTCAATGGTGACCAATATTGCCTTTAACACAAATCGAATAAACGCGGGTACCACTTAAAGTCAGTTGCCGTCGTCTGAGGGCGCTGTTGATGTTTTATTTTCAACATGGCAGCCTCCATGGTCTTGAAATCTCGAGCTCTTAAATTGGGGAGTGTTTCCAAAAGTCTTAAGCGAATAAACCCGGATCACCTCTCTGCATGTGTGCTACAGCATAGTGTGAGAACATTCAGTGATGTTCTCGGTGGGAAAACTACCAGGATCGGATATGCGTCGGGGTTTTGGGGCGACACTTCTTGTGCAGGTAAGCGCAAGCAGGTTGGGCAGAGGGTGACCGTAAGGTCATGCCCAAATTCTGCTAAATGCGCTTCAAAAATCTGTCAGATTTATCAAAAATCTGCCAAATTCCCCAGAGTCACTCGAAATACACTATAAACACTTAAAATCACATGCAGATGTTGTAGTTTTGTCTTAACTAAGGTTTAAATTACATTAACAATTCATAGACAGACATAGTCACATCATGGAGGAATAAAAACACAGTGGTCACATAAAGATGTCATGAAATTGCATAAAAATTCGCGACGAATTAAGTCCCAGTTTAAGTGAAGCTAAGCACCTACACCATGCCAGGCAACCTGTCCATTAATTATACAAGTGTTTGTTTGAAAAGATTGAAGCTCTTTGAAACAAATGTACCATTTTGTTCAAATTTGTTTTTTTTTCTGTGAAAATAACAATTTTTGAAGAATTCTGTCAGAAATCTGCCAAACAAATCCATTCTGTCAAGTTTTCTGTCAAACTTTTTTTTTACGAAAATTCTGCCAAATTTTAGCCAAAATTCGGCTGAAACGTTCACCCTGAGGTTGGGTAAATAAAAAAAGTAGTCTCTCTTCCGACCTTCTTAAAAAAATGAAGGAGGCGGGCGGTTTTTATTTCTTGTTTTGGAAAAAATGTTACAACCTGACGCCACTTTTTTCTTCATATATCATCTCAATGAAGGTCATTCATTGCAAAAAATTATGATAAGACATGAATCTGGGACTGAGAAACATTTCCAATTTTGTTAGGAAATACTTGGAAAATTTTCTTGACTCTCCATAGACTTTGTACACAACCGCTGAAGTGGCGTCAGGTTGAAACATTTTTTCCCTTTTTTTTTTCTTCAAGACATGTCAAGATGGCGGATTTTTCAAGAGGGTGGATGGATTCTTCATTTTTCTTGACTATTTTTGCTGATACAAAATTGTGTCCAAAGGAGTGATTTAGCCCTTTTTTTTTACATAGGCTGGCTACAATTTTGTTGGAAACAAATGCAAAATAATTTGCAACTGTAAGGCCAAAAAACAAAATTGAGGTGGCAACGCGTTTTTTTTTTTTTTTTTTTTTTTTTCAAGCTTGAATTGTACAGACAAGGTGGGTACTATTTTGCTTTTTTTGTGTCCTCATATACACATGTACATTGGTGTCCTCCATAATTTGCCTTGATGCCCTCCATTATTTGCCTTGACGCAATTTCCCCATTCCTTGGTGCTCCTTGGTACAAAAATTCGAGGTGTGGCAACTGTTGTAGCTTCCGTGGTAAATTTGAAGGGAAAAAAGGTTGACGCGCATGATTAAAATCGATGCGCGCGCTGACCAGAGACCGACTATTTTTTTTGGGGGGGGGGGGGCCTAACTGTAAATTTATGTAATGAATAAAAAACAAAAGGAGGCCGCCAGAAAACAGGAATTGGGTGGGACGAGAAACTAGTTTATTTCTTTACTTGGCTTAAACAAATAAACGAAACATAACTGAACGACTTACGACAGAGTTTAATGTTATCAATACTTCATTGTCCTTGAAAGTTTATACAAAACTGTGGAAGAGAATGTGCCGCAAATAACCATTCAAGGCCATTGGGCATCCTGCACAATTTATCCTAAAAATGCATTTTTTTATGGTAAATTGGATTTATAACATGATTAACGTTAATCCTTTTACCAGCACCACAGCTTGTTCATCACGGCCAACTGGACTTTCTGGTGTTTGATTATCTCTCTGAGATCACCATGTCGCTTCTCACAGCAGCCAAACACAAGAAACCGGTAGGAACATCATTTGAAACTGTATTTATTTACACAAACTGTTCAAAGACAAACAAGCACTGCAGTTAATATGCAAAAACAAGGCTTTATAGGGTCAGTGAACCAGTTAAACTTTAAATTATGATTTCCTTAGTTTTTCCAAAATTTACTGATCATCATTTGACCTACCAGTAACATACAGAATATAAGTAAGATAACTCGTTCATAAAAGTAATTTTTTTTAAGTTGAGAAAAAAAATATATAATAATCTTGAAGTTTCTGTCAAGGTACATACCAGTCATCAGGCCCAGAGGAACAATTGTGATTGGTCAGTGTTCAAGACGTAGGCTTGAAATCTTGATTCCGATTGGCCAATATTGGCAGGGACACTTCCAAAGCTTAAAAATGATTTTTAAGTTAAATTTATTTCAAATGAACATTGCAGTAATGTGTGAAAATTGCATACATGTGTGTCAATACAATTTGAAAGCAAAGCATTGTGGAATATTGTTATCGTTAGAAAACAAGAGAATTCTCGGCAAAACCTTTTCTTTTTCTTAACAGGATCTGGGGTATGCTCCAGATTTCATTCAGGCCGCGATCGGCCCCCTGATTAACGACATCAAGAGCAAAGGCATCCGCGTGGTGAGCAACGCGGGCGGGGTCAACCCCCACGCCTGCGCCGCAGCCATACAGGAAGCCGCAAAGAAGGCTGGGATTGACCTGAAGGTCGCCGTGGTGACCGGCGATGACCTCATGCACAAGGTGAGAGTGCAATCAAACCTGAATTAAGCCAAAAATTTTCGATCATGTAAGCAAGCAATGACAAGTGTTATGGAGCGATTTCATCAGCTTTGTACTAGAGGTTGAGATTTAAACGCCACACGAAAACAGGGAATCACTTTCGGAATGTCGATACAGCGCTGGAGACGGTGGCGGAAGGTGCATGCTGCGGCTGAAAGCTTCTGAAGGAATGCAGGATCACCCCTGATGTTATTGCACACCTCCTCGATCGTGTGTTGCGCCAAACGATCGAGGAGGTGTGCAATGACATCAGGGGTGATCCTGCATTCCTTCAGAAGCTTTCGGCTACAGCACGCGCCTCCCGCCACCATCTCCAGCGCTGTATCGACATTGGAGGTCGTCAAATTCTTGGCTACTTCATTAGATACATACTTGCAAATGTGGAATCGAATGAGGATTTTGGCTCTTTTACTCATAAGGGGTCAACCTCATATTTGTCAAAAGTAATGGAGTTGGGTCAATCTGGGTCGCATGTATTTATTTGGTTTGAAAGATATTTTGCGTTAAATCTTGTAGGCCTATATTCTAAATATGACATATATGCATACTGATTTATGACTGATGTTTTTCCTTTGAATAAAGCATGTTGTTGTATCAGTGAAAAAGGAAACGCATAAATATATTTTGAATAATGATTTTTTTTTTCATTTTCAATAAATTTGAAGAGAGGCGATATCATTGCATCTGGGACCAAAGACATTGACTCTGGCATCGCAGCTCCTAAGAGTCTGGTCAGCATGAATGCCTACCTAGGGTAAGAAAAAATTTCTTAGTTCGTCTCTTCTCGTCTTCCCTTTTTGTTTCCATCTTCAGTACATCCACAAAAAGTCTAGTCTAGTCATGATTTTTGTAGCTATATGTATTCATACTACTTTATAATGTTTTACTCTTCCCTGCATTTGAAACGTTGACATTTTGTGAGGACAATGTGTTAATGTTTTATCAAAGTTGGCGTCAAAACATATGCGGGAGATTAGCAATACAAAATCTTAGGGTTGTGTGCAAATTCACACGGGGTTGAATCTGCTGCCCCCCACCCCTCCCAACACCCACCCTCCCCCTTCCCACCTCCCACCCCCACCCCTATACCAACCCTTCCCCACCACTACCCTACCAACACCACCACCCCCACCCCCCTTCCAACCCCCCCCCTCCCACCCCACCCCACCCCCACCTCATTCAAAGCTAATATCAGGCATGCAACTTTTCCTCGGATCAGCTGATTTCCTCTTTTTTGACCTCCCATGTGTGCCATTGAAAATAGAAAAACACTGTACAAAGTCTGGGAAAAATTTGAATTTCCTCTTTTTTTGTGATTTCCCAGTTGCATGCCTGTAATATAAGAAGAGTCTTCTTCCAAAGTGTTGTATTAGAGTTTTTTACAGACTTTTATTAGGCCTACATCTTTCATTGTATGTCTTTTTATTCAGAGCTGGCCCTATTACCAAAGCCCTAGACATGGGGGCCGATATTGTAGTAACAGGGAGGTGTGTGGACAGTGCTGTGGTCCTAGGACCCCTCATGCACACGGTAAGTATAAACAACAACAACAAATTCATTACATCCATACTTTCCAAGGTAGTATTTTCATTATTTAGCTGGGGACTGCAATTACACAAGCACCTATGGAAAATGCAAAAGCCACTTCCCATAAAAGTGTGCACAACTGTTCACTGTAGGCAAGTTGTTTACATGCGTCTTCAGAAACACACATAACAACTATCTGAGTTAGTTCAAAATTTGCTCTACATGCTGTGAAATGGGAACTAAAGCGTTGCTTTTTTTGGTAAATAGACATCTCTTCAACTCCACCACTCAAAATTTGTTATCGTACATAAAAATCATTAATCCTTTACTGTAATTCTTTATTTTGCTCGAATTTTGCTGTCCATGTTTTAAGAAAAATGTGCAACAATCACTTAAATAGTTCATGCTGGATAGCTGTTGTGTTCCAGAGGTCCCAGGTTCATGTCACACTCCCGGTAATTTCTTTGTTCAACCTTATTCATTTGTACTTTGAGATTTGAAGGTTTGCATGGTGGAAAGATACTAAGACAAGATAAGTTTGCGGTAGCACCATGTGAATAAATCTCTTTTGTGAGTATGTGTGGTTCTGTGTGGTTCTCCGGTTCTTTTCAGAACCACACATACTCACAAAAGAGATTTATTCACATGGTGCTACTGCAAACTTATCTTGACTTAATTTGTACTTGTCTTGACCACATTTTGCAGTTTGGTTGGGACCCCACAGACTACACGCGTCTGGCCTCAGCCTCTCTGGCCGGTCACATCGCCGAGTGTGGCGCGCAGGCTACCGGCGGCATCTTCACGGACTGGCACCAGGTCGAAGGCTGGGACAACATCGGCTTCCCCGTCGCGGAATGCGCGGAGGACGGCCGATTCGTCATTACCAAACCCCCCAACACGGGCGGGCTGGTTTCCAAAGCCACCATCGCCGAGCAGATCGTGTACGAGCTGGGCGACCCCGGGCGGTACATGCTGCCCGATGTGATATGCGACTTCCGGAATGTCACACTGCAAGAAATTGAAGGTGTGTTTGTTTGGTGACTTGACGGTTTCATTCACATTACTTCACACGTTTTGTCCCACATTTTAAGAAAGTACTTTAATCTTGGATAAATGCCATGCCACTGCTTACCAGAAAGTACTGCTTTGTATACAGGGTGAGTAAAAAAAACCGCAACCCAAACAGCAGGGCCAAGTTTTGAATGATGTTTTACCTGTAGCTTTTTCAAAATATGGGATATGAAAGCCCAATCAATGAGCTTTCTTTTAGTACAAGAATCATTCAAATCACTCATGTACTTGTCAATTTACAAAATTTTGAACCACAAGTACTGTTTTAAAGTTCTGTCCACGGATCACAAAAAGTGAGTGTTCCTTCAGCAAAACAAAAACAATTTACATGCATCCCTATGAGAATTGTTTTTGTTTTGCTGTAAGAACACTCACTTTTTGTGATCCGTGGACAGAACTTTAAAATGGTGTTTTGTGTTCAAACTTCGGTAACTTGAAAAGTACCTGAGTGGTTTGAAGGAATCTTGTACTAAAAGAAAGCTTAATGACGGGGCTTTCATATCTTTGATTTTGAAAGTGCTACAGGCAAAACTTCACTCAAAAATTGGTCCTGCCATTTGGGTTTCGTTATTTTGACTCCGTATTTGTGAGCTTAGCATGAATCGGTAGGGAACCAACCACAAACATTATAAATTGCATGGCATTTTGGCTGGTAAAAATGATTTTTTTTTGGGGGGGGGGGGTTCTTTTGTTTGTTTTTTCCCCGGTGAATTTAGTAATTTCCCAAAAATTCTTTTTTACAACAATGAACAGGTGATCCCAATGGAGCTGTTTTAGTGTCAGGAGCCAAAGGCTTACCACCAACCTCACAATATAAGGTACCTGTAACTTTATTGAAAAAAATTGTAGTCATATTACATCAAATCTACTGGCACCGTAGCGAGTGGTAAGTAATGTACATTTTTTCAGTTGGTGCATGCACATGCGAAAAATGTGTATCACAGGTGAAGTCACAAATACGAAACGTCTTTTTGTATATTTAGTTGCTGTATATTTATCCCATAATATGTTTTCTGATAATTTTGAACTCTTCATGTTAACCCTGCATCCCCCCCCCCCATCTTACCAAAAAAACATAATTTTAGGTTCACAAATGTAAAAAAAACTCGGAATTACTTACTACAGTACCTATTTTGCAGTATTTTGATGGAAAAGGACTGTACAGACCAGCTATCAATACTTCTTAAAAAAAATTCTCTTGCTACAAGTTTTATGCAATGTTTTGGAGTTTAGGAAATTCATGCAATAGTTAGGGTTTATGGGCTCCGTGCACAGGTACCCCTTCAACGGCCAGGAAAGGAGAGTTGGGGAGACCTAGACTGGTTCCCGGTCCATCCACTGCATATTTTAAATGATTGGCGGGGATTAGTCTGGGAGACCATCACAGGTTAAATTTGAATGTATTCGGGCGCCAAAATTGCCTGACGCTTACGTGAAGACGCTGTGGCTGATAGCTTCGGCACATTCCGGAAAACATGCGTACTTCCCACGCGAACCAGTACAGTAGTGTGCAAACGCTGTGCGTCCCACCCACAGGGTCTCAAAAATGGTGAGAGAGCGCCCTCCTTAGTTGGCGCACGGAGCCCAAAGAGAGAACAATTAGCAAAGTTTGTTGTCATATTTAACCCGTAATTCACTGTTGTTCTTTGTTTTCCACTTTTATAAGGTGAGTGGTACGTATGCTGATGGCTTCCGAGCCACTGCGGTGGCGTCCATCACCGGGCCAAATGCAGCCGAGAAAGGCAGGAAGACCGCTCAAAGTATTCTTAAAAGGTAAGTAAAGTTCTCCCAGATTTTGAATCTTTGGTTTGTTTCTGTTGAAGTAGGTCTCTCTGTTTTCTTTCTATATATGTGTGACCCGATCCACAAAAAAAGGGTATAATGTCGGGAAAAAAGTGAAATTGAGTTACACACATGGTTGGAGCCCACAACATAAGCTTTCATTTAGTATATAATAGCGCTCTATAGCCCTCCGTTCTGGAGATATGACGTATTTGCATATTAATCACTTCCTTTGGAGTTCGAATTACACAACTGAGAAAACAGGCTTTGAAATAGCTGGCTCTGTTCTATATTTTGGCACAATGCACTGAAAATTGTCATTTTGTCCCCACTTTATTCATCAAAATCAAAATTTCTGTGAATGATTCCTAAAACTTTAGGTATTAAGGACGTCATTTATGACAAAAAATGACAATCACATTTTGACGAAGTGTTCACCCTCTCAACGTTGAGCGGACCATTACACGATAATGCACAGCGTGGCGTAATCCCCATTTTTGTAGAGTGGGTCACATATTCAGTTTAGAAAGTCTGTTTACATTTCAATTTTTTTAAAAAGAGATTGCCCAACTTTTATTGCTAGAAAATATCAACAGACAATTGCTATCAATCGTCCTATAAATTACAAGCCCAGAATGTGCCAGTTTTCCTGTCCCTATTACCTTGGTACTTTGTAATTTGCCATTCAATGTATTTTATTTGTTGGGTAGGTAGTTTGCTTTTCATTTTGAATAAATTAAATCATTATTATATTCTCAACAAGCGCACATTTGTGACCTGTTCTAGCAAAAGCAGACGCTTCTGGGCAGAGGTTGAAATTGAGATAGGGCCAAAAAACGCTGTGGGGGTGATTTTTTTTCCATTTTCTAATTTTTGCATATTTGTAATTCCGAGCATGTCTAAAATATACTATAAAAGTTTGAAGCCCTAATTTGATCTCTAATTATAGTATTTTTGATGATGTGTTAAGGTATATCAGTTAAAGAAATGTCTGTTTTGTGACGTTCGTGTCCATTTTCTCTGTTTTCTACTTTTCGACCGAATGAACTTCAAAATAGCATAACTCTGCCCAGGAATGACCGATTTCAAAAATTAAACCACTTATTAAAAGAAAACAGAACATATTTTAACAATATGCAAAAATCTCATTTTTGACCTTATGCCCAGAAAAGTCTGATTTTGACAGAACAGGTCACATTTATTTATATGCAAATGTTCACTGCAAAGTATCATTACTAACAGCAGAGTTTTCCCCAAACCCCAGAACCAGAACCATGTTCAAGCATCTCAAGTTGAAGGACTACACGCAGACCAACATTCAGATCCTGGGTTCAGAGCAGACGTACGGTCCCCACGCTAGGGACGTCAACCCAAGGGAGGTCGTGTTGTGGATGGCCTTAGAGCACTCGCAGCGTAATGCACTGGAAATCTTTGCCAGAGAGATTGCTCCGGCCGGTACAGGAATGGGTAAGTAACGTTTTCAAATATGTAAAATGTCATTCCTCAAATTTTGTTCCAAACAAATTTTTGGAGGACGCTTACCAGTCATAACTTCTGTATGATCGTATCTCCATATGACCGTATGTTGCTTAGGTTAAGTTTTAGGTTAACTTTGTGAAAAAAAATGTATAACTTCTACATGCTTTCATGGATTTTGATGAAACTTGAATGCAGTGACCTTTGGGTGGGAAGACACAATTCTTCAACCGATTACTGAGGTCAAAGGTCATGTAGGGGTCATTAGAGGTCGGGCTTTTTGAAACAAGAATATGAGCACAACACATATAGGGTCCGGCTGCAGAAAAGGGTGACACTTGCGATCTGCTGATCACTTGTTGAGGACATAGGTTGTTCCTTTAAGGACAAAGAAAGTCTTGTGGTCATGAGTCAAGTGGCAAATGGTCCTGATGACTTTATGGCTGTTCATTGAATTCTCAGTGTTTTTAGAGTCTTTTTTTCGGAGCAATATGGCACATCAGTCCAGTGTTTATATCTGGTTTCCTTAGCACACAATTACAGAGAATACTATTATTCCCTGTTGATGTATGGGAGTTCATCACAGGTTACTCCCCAGCTAATGCCGGTACCCATTTATACTCCTGGGTGGAGAGAGGCAAGTGGAGGTAAAGTGGATTGCCCAGGGACAACATATGGCCAGCAGTAGGATTCAAACTCCTGATCCTCTGATCATGAGTCTCAAACCCTAACCACTACGCCACACCCGACATATTTTCTGTGGACAAAGTCAGGGTCAGACTGGCAAGAATCACGGCACTCTGTCTCAAACTTAAAGAGAAGTTTCAAACTTTTTGATACGAACTAATAATTTACTGAACTGTTTCTTTTTATAGCACCAGGTCTGACGGGGATTGTGGGAGGCAGACCCAGAGTGTGAGTCAGATTTTTTGGGAAATTTCATTTAAACAATTCTATATATTCTAAAAAATGTTTCAAGTTAATTTTAGAATTAGTTTGACATTCCACACAGTGATTATCATTTAAAATGTTGGCTGAACTTTGTTGAATTAATTTTGATTCTTGCATTTCTAAAACTATTTTCTAATGCTCTGATACATAAAAACAACTGCTCCAGCTACCTGTTGTGAAAGAAATACATTTCAGCTCATTACAATCGTGTCTTTTTTTTTTTTTTTGCTGACAGTTGATGAAATATCTCCTTTTTTTCACTTCAGATCGATTAGATTTTTCCAACTTGTAAAATTTCCAATTAATAGACTTATCCTCTGATGGGTCTCATTTTCAGATCGCCAGTCTTGAAGCTGTTCTCATTCCTGTATCCAAAAGACCAAGTGCAGGTACGAAGACCACCTATGGTTTGACTTGTGACTGACATATGATTGACATGTGATTGACATGCGAGTGACATGTGATTGACATGTGATTGACATGTGATGAACTTGTAATTGACATGTAATTGACTTGTGTTTTGACATGTGATTGACATGTTATAAACTTGGAATTAACATGTAATTGACTTATGATTGACATGTGATTGACGTGTGATTGGCATGTGATTGACATGCGATTGACATGTGATTGACATGTGATTGACATGTGATGAGCTTGTAATTGACATGTAATTGACTTGTGTTTTGACATGTGATTGACATGCTATAAACTTGGAATTAACATGTAATTGACTTATGATTGACATGTGATTGACGTGTGATGGACTTGTGATTGACATGTGATTGACCTGTAATTGATATGCGATTGAATTGTGACGAACACGTGATTGATTGAGATTGACGTGATTGACTTGAGATTGACATGTTATTGACTTTTGATTGGGTTTTGATTGACATGTGATATTGACTTGTGATTGACATGTGATGGACTTGTGCTTGACTTAAGATTGACATATGATTGAGATGTGACTGACTTTTGATTGACTTGTATTTGACTTGTGATTGACAGTAATTGACTTGTGATTGGCATGTGATTGACATGTGATTGACGTTTGATTGACTTGTATTTGACTTGTGATTGACAGTAATTGACTTGTGATTGGCATGTGATTGACATGTGATCGACATGTGATCGACTTGGGTGTTTTATTGATTTACTCGTGAGGACTTTTCCACAACTTTAATTTGTTTCACCATCTTGTTTTTTCAGGCAACGGTTCATCTCGATGGCAAGGAAGAGACCATCACCATGTCATCCACTGATGCCTCCCCAGACTCGGTCCCATCAGATGAGTCTGAGGCACCAGCTGAGGAGACACTCCAAGGGGGAGATCACAGCTACAGCCTGGGAGAGTTGGCCTACACGAGGAGCGGCGACAAGGGGAACAACGCAACAATAGGTGAAGAAGAGTTGTTGTCATTTATTTTTGTTTTTCATTAACTTATTTTTCAGATTAAAAATACACAAAGTACTCATTCCATCCAAGGAAAATACAAAGTGAAGATAATATCAAGACATAAAATTGTGACTGTAGTCAAAGTTCTCATAATAATCAATTTATGATACGTCCCAAGAAGCAACCTGTTGAGTTGCAACGTTGTAGTCACAAGTCAATCACAAGTCAATCACAAGTCAAACACAGGTCAATCACAAGTCGATCACAAGTCGATCACAAGTCGATCACAAGTCGATCACAAGTCAATCACAAGTCAATCACAAGTCGATCACACGTCAAACACAGGTCAATCACAAGTCAAGCACAAGTCAATCATAAGTCAATCACAAGTCAATCACAAGTCAATCACAAATCAATCACAAGTCAGTCACAAGTCAATCACAAGTCAATCACAAGTAAATCACAAATCAATCACAAGTCAGTCACAAGTCAATCACAAGTCAATCACAAGTCAACTACAAGTCAACCACAAGTCAACCACAAGTCAGTCACAAGTCAATCACAAGTCAATCACAAGTCAACCACAAGTCAATCACAAGTCAATCACAAGTCGATCACAAGTCAAGCACAAGTCAAACACAAGTCAACCACAAGTCAATAACAAGTCAATCACAAGTCAATCACAAGTCAATACCAAGTCAACTACAAGTCAGCCACAAGTCAATCACAAGTCAATCAAAAGTCAACCACAAGTCAATCACAAGTCAATCACAAGTCAATCACAAGTCAATCACTAGTCAACCAGTTTCTTCTCAATTGAACTCTGACAATGTTTTTTCGTTGTTAAGTCCCAGTTACTCGTGACCCAACTTGTGATCAACTCATGATTGACTTGACTACAAGCCCGAGTTTTATGCAAGCCTTTCCCTCTGTTTGTTTAATTGATTGATTTACTATTATTTCTTTCTGTGTGTATTTCTTTCTTACATTTCAGGTGTTATAGCCAGGCATCCCTCCTATGTACCATACCTTAGGAAGGCACTAACGTCAACTGCAGTGCAAGAATATTTCCAGCATGTTATAGATCCTAATACTGTTGATCCAGTATCGAGGTAGGAAAAGAGTAATGTATTTCACTTCATTTTCACCATATAAATTATACAGTTAAGAATTTCTTTAAAGTTGACAAAGTCGACTCGTGTGCCGTGGTGCATGGGTTTGAATCCTGACAGGGAACATAGTGCTTGTGCTCTTGAGCAAGGCACTTTACCATTATTGCTTCGTCCTTGGGATGTAAAGCCGTAGGTCCCGCGTGTTGTGTAATGCACGTTAAAGAACCCAGTAACACTTATCGCTAAGAGAAGGGGTTTGCCCCGGTGTTTCTGGCAGTGGCTGCAATATGCGCCGCAGCACCTTGTATACCTTTTATAAAGGTGCTACATAATGGGTCTCACATCTCTCATCGACTTCATTTACCTGTCTTTAACAATAGACATAATTACCAGCGCCTTTAGTACCTAATTGTTGGTAGATACGTGTGCTATATAAGACTCCCGTATTATTATTATTATTACATCCGGCCACACGTTTGTCAGAAATTATTTCCCTATTTCTGGGAGCATTTTTAAAGGCATCTTAAGTTTGTAACTGGTAGGTCAAATCAAGGTCTATGAATGGGAATGTTTAGAGTTTGATGTAATGTCACTCACTGTGAAATTTGTAGTAATTAACTCTTGATCTAGTGAGGTTAGAGGCAAAAATCAAATTGCGCCTTGTTAGAGGCCGCGCCACGTTAGGGGACATCAACAATATTTCCTTCTTTCTGTATATAAACACGGTGAGTAAAAAAAAAAAAGCGGAACCCAAACCCCAAAAATTATATTTCATATTTAAAAAAATATGTAGCACCAAACATAATAATGACTGGAAAGCCAATTTCATAAGCTACTTGTAGATGAAAAATTACTGAAATTTCTCAATATGTTCAAAGAGTATCACCATTTAAACGCAATGGCCCTAAACTTCAAACTTTTAAACTGAGGTTTTATCGTTGGTGATGTTTGAAGACAATTGTGACGACGATTCTTGAAATTCGCATTTTTGGACGTGAGAGGTTTTAGGGTCATTGCGTTTAAATGGTGATATTCTTTGAACGGATTGAGCAATTTCAGTAATTTTTTTCATCAGAAAGTAGCTCATGAAATTGGCTTTCCAGTCACTATTATTTTTGGTGCTACATATTTTTTTTCAAATATGAAATATAATTGTTGGGGTTTGGGTTCCGCTTTTTTGACTCGCCCTGTGGCGTGAAATATATTGCACATTTAGAGTTGGTTTTTTTTGCCAAGGTGTGCTAAACAAAAAGTGATAACATTATTGTGCACAGTTGAATACACTTTTCATCCTGTTTTTTTTTCTTTGTCAATTGTAACAGATATGAACTTCCCGGCATCGATGGCTTCAGCTTCCTGTTGAGGAATTCTCTAGGTGGAGGGGGCGTGGCCTCGCTGAGGAGCGACCCTCAGGTAAAGAACCCCAAATTTCTGTGATTTCCTTCTTTTCGTTTTTTGGACTGGTTGTTGAGATTTAAACAATCTGGAGCCAATCTCATGATGCTGCAAAGCTTTTTACCTGCAAACAAAATCTATGTCCATATTATGCAAAGAGAATGCAAACTCCAGGTGCAAAATTTTTCTTAACCAAAACCACCCCAACTCCATCAAAATCCATCCCCCCGTTTTGGTGGATTTTAGGGGACTTGGTCCAGAAGGCCTGGCGCAACTAAATATTGATGGAGTATGATGGACTTGGGCCTAATGGCCTGAAGCAGTGCTAGGGTTACCCGATTGATTTTGCATAGCTTCCTGTACTGCTATTGTGATAAAAGCCATGTGTAGCAAGTCCATGAATGTCAACCAGTGCGTCAGTGGTGGATTTCATTATGTCATGCACAGTTTTGTATTGGACGCAAAGGGATTGATGGATTTTGATGGACTTGGTCCGGGTCCTAGTAAAAGGCGCCAGGGAGTAAGGGTTGAAGTAGTATCGGAATAAGGCAAAGTTCATGAATGAAAAAGCACGTCTTATCCTTGAAATATGCTCAATGTTGGCAGAATTTCCGGTACAGTTTCTATTTTTTTTTCTCCCTCCTTACAGGGCAAGGGCTACGGGCAGATGCTTCTAGATTTCCAAATCACCAACGTGCCTGATCTTCCGTCTCTGGCCGAGAAGTCATGAAATTATAGAAATTAGCTCAGAAGATTTTGGAGAAAAAAAGTAGAAACAGTGACGGGGAAGTCATTCCTCCAGTAGGAAATCTTGCACGAATGAAACTTTTGAATGAAAAATCTTGTATGAAAGAAACTTTTGAATGAAATTGAACTTGTGATTTGTTACGGGAAAACCAGCTCAATTTAGCCAAAATTGAAGCGATGGACTTTGGATTGTATTTCTGAGTAACTAAGAATGCACAAATTGTAAAGGGACCATAATTCATGTCAACGTGTTATTTATAAAAAAAAAGTTGGGATTTTCAAAGTGTATTTATGAAACTTAATCTGGTTGAACAAAGAAATTGACTGGAGCAGAAGTTTGAACAAGAAATTTTCAGAGCGCTGCGCGTTTCTCAACACATTGAGAAATCCAGTCCATTGTTTGCATCATGTCATGTGACCAAAGCTGTGCCACAATTGCCGGCAACATTAGCAATGTTTTTCACATTCAAATGAACTTTCTTTCGATTTTTTTTTTCAAAAAGGGAGTAATTTATTGGAGTGATGTCTTTGTGAGGAGAGCATGGACCATAACAGTTTTAAAATGATCATGATTGTAATCTCAAAACAGGGTTTTCAGTAATGGCTTTGTGTCAAGTTTGACAGGTAAAATAATTTTAGATACTTTTGAAAAGTTATAATTGGTATTTCTGGTTGCCATATCAACCAGTGCACGTATTCAGATGAACCCCCAGCAATTAACAAAAAGATATATGCAATTGTTATTTTGATAACATATCTCGCCAGTGTTTAACTGATTGACTTTAAACGGATGTAAAGGATTTTGAATATATTTCAAAATGAGAGAGAATTTATTAAAAGAAGTTCTTTGTACTTTATTTCACTTTTGTGTGTGCACTTGTTCTTTTTGAGGAGAGTGGGAGCAGATATATTTATAAATGGTTTAATTTGGGGGAAAAATTTTGCAACCTGACACCACTTCAGCAGTTGTGTACAAAGCCTATTGAGAGTCAAGACAATTTTTTTAAGTATTTCCTAACAAAATTGGAAATGTTTCTCAGTCCCAGATTCATGTCATCATCATCTTATCAGTCAGGTTGCAACATTTTTTCCTAATTTTAATTTATCAATGTGAATTTCAGCCTCAGAAGGGGTAATGGTTTAGTAAAGTTGGTTTATTCTTTAGGCCCCAAAAAAAGTCTCCGGTTTCTGGTATGCGCCCGCGTCGCCGTAGCCATGCGCGTCGGCAAAGTTTTTTTTTTCAATGAAAGATGATGTCTCAAAACCGCCAAACTCACTGGTTTGACTGGAATCCTGCTGCTGCACAATTTTAACGTGTTTTTAGATTGGGTTATGGTCGAGAATAAACTTTATGTGGCCTCTCTGGACTCCCATATATTTGCAGTACGTTTAGTTGGGCACCATTTGCAGTCATCAGCCGACATTTGAAGTAAAAAATCAGGTTAAAAAAAAAAAAAAAACGCGTCGCCGCACCACTTTTATGGCAAGCTCCATACCAGAAACCGGAGACTTTTTGGGGGCCTTAGTTGGGGGTGCATGGCTACAGAACAATGGGAAAGATTTAGGACTATATTTTAATTTTTTTGGGGGGGGGGTGTGGAAGTTGGGCATATTTGAGGGTGAACATTGAGAATATACCGGTGGGTGCTCTCTAACTGCCACAACCCTTTGTGTCCCTCATAATTATGGATTCGAACAGTTCATTTAACTTGAGCACCCACTGTTGTCGGCTGATGTCCAGTTCAACCCTCCCCCCCCCCCAAAAAAAAAACCCGCCGCCGCCAACGCATTTCAAAACTCTAGTGGTTGGTGCAATCTCATGGTCTGTCTGTGGCAATTTGTGGTCGCACACTTGTAGTAAGTGTTGAATTGGCGTCTTTGTGGTCTTGCAAGGAAGGAGGGTTGATGTTATTATGAACAGAATTTAAAACATCGATTGTTAAGAAATCTGCAATAAAAACGGCCGTCATTAAGATCTGCCGTTACTATCACGGTCACAAATATAGAGTAAATTGTTAAATGAATGGATTTGTGTATGTTCCTTCTATTTCCTCCTGAACGGATATTCAGCAAAATCAACAAGGAAGTCAAACAAATCTCTTTTGTGTGGCTGTGTGGCTTACCTTAAACTACATTGTATGTCCGCCGGTGTAACCCTGGACTGGCGGAAATGCAAAGTAGTCAAACAAAATATAATCTCAGCCATGTCATTGTCAAAACCCCAAACAACCGAACCGAACCATCCCGACTACTGCATGTTTTGCAGTCAAATAATTAGGCTCGGTGAACGAGCAGAACTTTTTGGTTAAAAGTCTCTGAGATGATGAAGTACGAAGCGCTCGTTTTTACCGTGTCTGCTCTGGTTGTTTTGGGGGTTGCCGACGCCTTCCCCGACGGTGCTTCTCCCAGGGCGTGCGTGGACATGGTGCCAGGTCACAGCAGCACCACGGAGCCTGGCAGGGTGATATCGCCCCAGGAATCCATCAGTCCGTACAGCGTGGTGGCCCGGGGGGATGGGTACACCCCAGGCGGGACCGTCAGTGGTGAGTCAAATAAAAAGTTTGAACAAACAAACAAACATCCACCCCAACAAACAAGCAAACAAACACCCCCAACAACCCCCAACAAACAACCAACAACCCCCCCCCCCCCCACCCAAAAAAATGAATTAAGGAAATCGTCGAAATCCTTTTGATCAGAAGCAAGGGCGGATCCAGAGGAGGAGGCCCCCTCCCCAAAGAACCCAATTTTTTTTTAAAGTGACATCGCAATAAGGGCAGGCAATGAGTACACCACCATCTTTTCCTCAAAAAAAAACATTGGTTAAAGTGGTCAGAAATTGTCTCAGATCGCACCACAGAGCATCTAGAATCCAAAAAAAAATTCGGGGCTTTTAAGCGGACCCCGAACCCCACGCCATAATTTTTTGGACCCACTTTTTGGAGGACCAAATTTGTCTTGCCCCCCCCCCCAAAAAAAAAATGTGTTCTGGATCCGCCCTTGATCAGAAGTGACACATTTTCCGGGACCACAAAGGAATTCTTCGTGTCTCTTACACAGGTGGTTATTATGTCTATTTTATTCACTTGGAATAGGAATCCACATTACAACTGTGCTAAATTGAAAGAATCTTAAAAATCATGTCAGTCATACTGATATACTTACATGCTGTAAACGTGTTAGGGATTGTGAAAAAGGTAATCGAATATGGATTGTATAAACATACGAAAGTAAATGCATCAGTTAAGAACATTCATGAAAAAGTGGCAAATGGTACAAAATGAGCTAACTTGATAAAGAGAATTAAAAACCTCTTGTTTGTTATTAATTAATTAATTCATTCATTATTATACATTTTCTTAAAACACCGAATCAACACATTTTGGACCGATTATTTTTTTTATATACAAACCGCCATAAATTTACTACAAACATTTTCAACATAGAACTCTATACAAATATGACCGCAACTTCACACAATTGCCCCAAAACTGAACTCCGTTTAATCTCAGTGGGTTATAATCCAGGCGGAAACTTTAAAATAACTGCTGAGTATGATTCGTCACTAGGCATATTATTAAAAACATTTGAAGTCGATGAGACCATGAGATATAAAATAATACAGACGCTCTATTGGAATGTCGTTCCAAGCATTGGTCATGAATTGTGAACCATGGAAGGTCGTTTATTACATCTTAAATTAGACAAACGCTGAAAGTATCACCAAAAAGTTTTACAGTTTTACATGACTCTGTTTTAATTGTTGGGAATCGTAAGAGTGGTTGTCGCTGGTTCCCTACCCACATTGGAATGAAGGATCGGGAACCAGTGCACAAAATCACATTTTTGTACAGCTCGGAATGGCCGCGCGGCGAATTCATATCAAGACTTTTACAGATCAGTGATAGTGCTCTTTAAAAATGCCATTTGACGGGTGAAAATAGACGTTAATCCCATTTATCGACGTAATTTTACATAATCACATAATAAATTAATCTAAAAAAGCTTACATAGCACTGCAAAGAATTAAAAGACTATAGGAAAAATGTACCAAATTACTACACACACAAATCTAAATCAACAATGAATCAATTAAAATGGCCAATTGTATGTACAAATAATTATGACTTCAACATTACGCAAAAACAAAAAATGAATCTCAGTTTCAATCTAATTTTCAAGAACTGAGTCAGAATACATTTTTAGTCAAAAAGACATAATGACGAATACAGACAAATACCTCCATACTGATTTATTGGACTGATCAAACTAAAATGACAGCTCAAACGGTCGGACGCGGATGAAATAATCATTAATCATCTATTTTTAAAGTGAAGTAAACTTAGGGAAATTCCAAACGCGAGAACCGAACTTTGTAACGAGCATGCGTAGCGATAGCTCCCTCAAACCCCTAATCGAACTGCGCTACTGCAACACAATTCTGGGCTCTGATTTCGTCCACTGTCTTGCGCAGTTGAGCTTTTAGGTCGTCGGCTGTTTTGCGGATAACTTGCGCTATCTCTGGTACCGTTTTCTCGTATAAATATTTGCTGGACGTGATCACAGTGTACAGGTTTAGCCCTATCGCTGTGATGCTTGCCACCAAGCCCGCAATGTTAAAAGCCTGCCCTACAGCACTCGCCGCTAGGAAGGCCGTCTCAGCCCCCACCTCGAAGCCTGCCGCGCCCTCCCCAACCAAATCGCAGACGGTTGTAACGACGGTATAGGATGTCTTTCCCCCTACCACACCCCCACCAACAACCTTGGCCGTATTCCATGCACGGTTTAATTTCGAATTGACTTGCTTAAATTTCGCCTGTAGTCTTTTAGATGCGTCTTCGTCGTCTTTAAATGTTTTTACCGCGCTGGCGCTGGTTAACTCTGAAGTTATGAATTCCGTGAGAATACATCCCAACGTTGTCAACCCGCCGGCTAATCCGATCACGGCACCAACGCCGACGAGGACCATCGAAATACCGAAGGTGAAGAACGAAGCAATGAACCCCGCGATAGCCAATCCTGAGCCCACGATCCCCACTGAACCTCCAACCACCTGCACAATTGCACCAAAAAAAAAAAAAAAAACTAAAACAAACAAAAAAATCCTGAGGATATGAAGCCCGGGAAGGGACAGGGTGGAAATTTTTTGTTGGAGTTTGCTAATTCGTTCGCACGAATTAGTAATTCGTTCGCACGAATTAGTAATTCGTTCGCACGAATTAGTAATTCGTGCGAACGAATTAGTAGGCCTAATTCGTGGGTTTCGTGCGAACGAAATAGGAATTCGTGCGAACGAATTTGGAATTCGTTCGAACGAATTAGGAAATTCAAAAAAAAAAATCCACCCTGTCCCTTCCCGGGCTTCATATGAGGATTATTAGGCCTAAAGCAAAAGCGAATCATGTGCCGACTGAACTGCAAGAACTTAACATTCAAACTTTGAAGACAACATTAAGACTGAGATGTTGACTTAATCGAAACAATGACTTTTGGTAGTTGCAAAAGATACGTTTAATTTGAGTCCATGCTGAGGTATATACGGGTGTTTGGATGTGTAAACAACATCTTACAAGTAGAGTGGGTTGATTCACAAGCCCATGAAGGGAATTCTTCTTATTCTGTGCAATTTGCTACTCCCATCCTGAAATGTACGAAAGATATTTGACATCCCTTTTGGTCATGTTTTTGGGGGAAAATTGCACTTCTTTGTCCATGCTTCTCCGGATAACCGAGGGCGCTTTTGATGTGATGTCATTTCAGGAAGACTATATTCAGATTACGGGGGCTTACTGTTTAAAATTGTGAACCCAAAAATTTGCTTACTGAAAATATTTGTGTGAGAAAAGTTTACTTACTGGCTTCTACTGCCACTGTGGTGCGGACACAACAACGAATCACCAAAGAAATGAAAATTTACTAAAAATTCTGGTCACTTTTGGTGCTGAAATAGCTGTAACATTGAGGTTTCTGCCTGAAAATTAATTTCACTTTAAGTTATGAATATGGGCAGTGTTTTCAATCATGTTTGCCAGGCTTGACCCGGGATCTCATATTTTGGTGATGTGACTGACCTTTGCAATGTTAGCCCGGTAGATGTGTTGTTCAAGTTTTTGGGCTAAATTGTTGAGACGTTTTATGAGAGCCTGTCGGCTTTTGACGAAGTCGTTGGCAGCGTCTTCCAAATCGTCGAGGTCCCTGATCAGCTGCAGCTCCTGGACCATCTCTAATGACGAATAGTAAACAGGCATCTGCATCGATACTGCGTGTTTGCTGTATTCGTGTTCCTAACTTCCTATAACGTTTATTATATTCGGGTACCCAAGGCTACTTTCTACCACACAAGTTCGATAGAAAATTACTTTAATTTCGTTCCCCAACTTCGCTTTGGGCAGTTGGGCTTACCTTTTACTTTAAATTTCAAATTTGTCGCAAAGATTAAGAATGCAGTATCAATCACAATCGTAGCATTTTAATGGTGTAAATTTGAAACTGAAATGTACGATTGAACCAAATGACGCTCTTGTACTACGTGTAAAAAAAAATATAATATTTTGATCCTAAATAACTCCGTTGTTTTCCAATGGAATCAAACCAAAATTTCAGATCATGTAAACAAGGCATGACAAATTTTATGGAGCATTAATTCCATAAACATAGTTAATTAGGATCAAAAGTAGGACTTTTTTGACACGTAGTATGTACATTGTAAATGAACAAAATAAAATCGAGTTTACGGTATGATACAAGTGTAATAATCGGTAAAAACTAGATTTACATGAGTTACATCCACGGTCGGTTAACCGATAATAAATAAATTGATTAATTAATTAATTATGTTGCAACGCAATTTACTTGGTTTATCTTTGTCTTATAATAGCACGTCCGGGTTCTGGGTCTGGCGTAATTGTTTTCCGGGCTAAGTTTTTTAGTATAAAAAAATGGTAAAATCTATGGGAGCGTATTACTACTAATAGCGATTTACTGTTTTATTTACCCTTTATTTAACAACGATAAATTAAATACCCCCGAATTGGAAAAAAATGTAGCATAAGGGGAAGTGTGGGTGCCCCCCCCCCGCCCCCCTCCCACTCCCGATGCGCCACTGTCTTTTTTTGTGGTCCCGTCTCTCGCATGTCTTCGGCATTATCCTGTTCGTGGTTGCATTAATTAAGTGGCCCATTATGAATAACAAATAACAGAAACATACCCTCAAACCTGGGCATTCGAGGAGGCATGGTTTTTCAGATGCGATGATTAACTTTTCAAGGGCGACTATGAAGAAGTTGAAGACTTCACTAGCGCTCCAAGGAGCCAATTCTTATTCAAAGACAGACGGTATCGCCAGTCCAGTGTTGGATGCGCACCCAGGTGTTGCGAGATTGTTTATACAATTGTCTGTTCCTGCAACTTGCTTTTATTTAGCCACGAGTGAATACCCTCGGTTCCATAAAAAAGATTCCGCCGATTCGTATCTTTAAGATAACTTTTAGGGTTTTTCCAAAAATCTTCAGTCTCTCTAATAGAGAGACTGTAGGTTTTTGGAAAAACCCTAAAAGTTTCGAAAGAGCGGGACAATCCGAAATGGTTAATTATCGATGATCTGTAACAAACACAAAGGGACAGGTATATTTACACTATACGATAGGATCATGTTTTCAGGAGGTCTATAGGTGGGCAAACAATGCACAGTGCACAGTCACCGTCTGGAAATAGCGCCGGGATTTTTGTTTTAGATCGCACTTTGTCCTATTTTTCCAAAGTCTGGTTGAAAGGAAACTAAATCCATAATGTCTCACTGTACTGTTCCATCATCCAGAAGGTAAATAAATAAAAATCAATAACTTGCAAATAAACAAGCAAAAAATACTCCAACTACCTAACAAACAAACAGCTTAACACCCCAACAAACAGCCCAACAAACAAACTTATTCAATTCAATTCAATAAAACATTTATTCCACACTTCTTTTGGAAAATACATCGATAATTGAAGAAAATTAGTACAAACAACCCAAAAGTCCAACAAACAACAAACAAACAAACAAACAAATACAAAGCACCACTAGAAACGAGACTATCATTGCGTACTAAAAAAAAACATCCGTTGGGCTTTAGATGATTTACTGTTCCTTTGTAGGTCTTCGAGTCGGTTCGGTTCGGTCGGTGCGTCTTTATCATGGTCTGTCGATCGGTTGTTTCATTGGTTTGTTTATAGGTTGGTATAAGTCAGTTGTTACATTGTTGATTGGGCGGGTGATGGGTTACTTTTAGTTTGACAAACACGCTTGGTATGTTATGGTTGATCAGAAATTTCTTGTACAAGTTTGATATGATTACAAAAGAGTAAACGATTGTTCTTATTGATTAAGATGCAATTCCTACTAATTAGTTAGGCTTCTAAGACAAGATAAGTTTGTGGTAGCACCATGTGAATAAATTTCTTTTGTGAGTATGTGTGGTTCTGAAAAGAACCGGAGGGACTCAACTTTTCGAACAGTATGCTCTGCCCGTCGTCAGGAGAATGAGGGATTCCAACGATGATGCGATGTTATAAGGATGGGTGCGGTGAGGCGTGAGAAGGATGCAAATGGTGAAGCTCGAATGGGTCACCTATACCCTGAGCTCCTTCCCCTTTGCCCCCTCACTATGTACTGACACGCTCCAGTGATCATCCAGCATCCTTCAGTCAACTTGCATCCTTCTCAGCTTCACCAGTTTCGAGCTTCACCAGTTTGCATCCTTCTCACTTCGCTCTGGGCAGTTGGGCTTACAAATTTGTCGACAAATTTGTCGCAAAGATTAAGAATGCAGTATCAATCACAATCGTAGCATTTTAATGGTGTAAATTTGAAACTGAAATGTACGATTGAACCAAATGACGTTCTTGTACTACGTGTAAAAAAAAAATAATATTTTTGATCCTAAATAACTCCGTTGTTTTCCAATGGAATCAAACCAAAATTTCAGATCATGTAAACAAGGCATGACAAATTTTATGGAGCATTAATTCCATAAACATAGTTAATTAGGATCAAAAGTAGGACTTTTTTGACACGTAGTATGTACATTGTAAATGAACAAAATAAAATCGAGTTTACGGTATGATACAAGTGTAATAATCGGTAAAAACTAGATTTACATGAGTTACATCCACGGTCGGTTAACCGATAATAAATAAATTGATTAATTAATTAATTATGTTGCAACGCAATTTACTTGGTTTATCTTTGTCTTATAATAGCACGTCCGGGTTCTGGGTCTGGCGTAATTGTTTTCCGGGCTAAGTTTTTTAGTATAAAAAAATGGTAAAATCTATGGGAGCGTATTACTACTAATAGCGATTTACTGTTTTATTTACCCTTTATTTAACAACGATAAATTAAATACCCCCGAATTGGAAAAAAATGTAGCATAAGGGGAAGTGTGGGTGCCCCCCCCGCCCCCCTCCCACTCCCGATGCGCCACTGTCTTTTTTTGTGGTCCCGTCTCTCGCATGTCTTCGGCATTATCCTGTTCGTGGTTGCATTAATTAAGTGGCCCATTATGAATAACAAATAACAGAAACATACCCTCAAACCTGGGCATTCGAGGAGGCATGGTTTTTCAGATGCGATGATTAACTTTTCAAGGGCGACTATGAAGAAGTTGAAGACTTCACTAGCGCTCCAAGGAGCCAATTCTTATTCAAAGACAGACGGTATCGCCAGTCCAGTGTTGGATGCGCACCCAGGTGTTGCGAGATTGTTTATACAATTGTCTGTTCCTGCAACTTGCTTTTATTTAGCCACGAGTGAATACCCTCGGTTCCATAAAAAAGATTCCGCCGATTCGTATCTTTAAGATAACTTTTAGGGTTTTTCCAAAAATCTTCAGTCTCTCTAATAGAGAGACTGTAGGTTTTTGGAAAAACCCTAAAAGTTTCGAAAGAGCGGGACAATCCGAAATGGTTAATTATCGAAGATCTGTAACAAACACAAAGGGACAGGTATATTTACACTATACGATAGGATCATGTTTTCAGGAGGTCTATAGGTGGGCAAACAATGCACAGTGCACAGTCACCGTCTGGAAATAGCGCCGGGATTTTTGTTTTAGATCGCACTTTGTCCTATTTTTCCAAAGTCTGGTTGAAAGGAAACTAAATCCATAATGTCTCACTGTACTGTTCCATCATCCAGAAGGTAAATAAATAAAAATCAATAACTTGCAAATAAACAAGCAAAAAATACTCCAACTACCTAACAAACAAACAGCTTAACACCCCAACAAACAGCCCAACAAACAAACTTATTCAATTCAATTCAATAAAACATTTATTCCACACTTCTTTTGGAAAATACATCGATAATTGAAGAAAATTAGTACAAACAACCCAAAAGTCCAACAAACAACAAACAAACAAACAAACAAATACAAAGCACCACTAGAAACGAGACTATCATTGCGTACTAAAAAAAAACATCCGTTGGGCTTTAGATGATTTACTGTTCCTTTGTAGGTCTTCGAGTCGGTTCGGTTCGGTCGGTGCGTCTTTATCATGGTCTGTCGATCGGTTGTTTCATTGGTTTGTTTATAGGTTGGTAAAAGTCAGTTGTTACATTGTTGATTGGGCGGGTGATGGGTTACTTTTAGTTTGACAAACACGCTTGGTATGTTATGGTTGATCAGAAATTTCTTGTACAAGTTTGATATGATTACAAAAGAGTAAACGATTGTTCTTATTGATTAAGATGCAATTCCTACTAATTAGTTAGGCTTCTAAGACAAGATAAGTTTGTGGTAGCACCATGTGAATAAATTTCTTTTGTGAGTATGTGTGGTTCTGAAAAGAACCGGAGGGACTCAACTTTTCGAACAGTATGCTCTGCCCGTCGTCAGGAGAATGAGGGATTCCAACGATGATGCGATGTTATAAGGATGGGTGCGGTGAGGCGTGAGAAGGATGCAAATGGTGAAGCTCGAATGGGTCACCTATACCCTGAGCTCCTTCCCCTTTGCCCCCTCACTATGTACTGACACGCTCCAGTGATCATCCAGCATCCTTCAGTCAACTTGCATCCTTCTCAGCTTCACCAGTTTCGAGCTTCACCAGTTTGCATCCTTCTCACGCCTCACCGCACCCATTCTTATAACATCACAGATCGGAGATTTATTCTCATGGTGCTACCGCTAACTTATCTTGTTTCAGTATCTTTCCACCATGCAAACCTTCAAATCTCATCTTAGTTGGGCTTCATTTAAAAAAGCAAGAAATTTTCTACAAAAATCTGAAATCCCCCATTTAAAGAAAAATAATGCCTCCCTGATTCCACGCCCCCCCCCCCCAAAAAAAGTTGCACCAGATAATTCCATAAACCCACTCCAATTCTGATGTTATCTCTTTCTATTTTTTTGGCATCACGCAGTCTCAATCCTCGCCGAACCCAGCAACATCACCTTCCAAGGTTTCCTCCTGCAAGCCCGCACCCTGACCAGCCTGGACCCGGTGGGCACCTTCCTGGCCGGTACAGACGGGGCGAGCAGGCTCTTGACCTGCAACGTCACCGGGGACTCGATCACCCACACCGGGCCTGGGGTGAAACGGTCCGGTATGACCCTCACGTGGCAGGCGCCGACGGAGAGTGTCGGGAACATCCGATTTCTGTGAGTCTTGTTGAAAAAAAATTACTTACTGATTTTTATTTTACGACCCCCCCCCCCCTAAAATGAACTCCAAATGTTTTGCGCCATGGCACTTGAAAATTAGGGAGGTAGTTGATAATTAGGATATTAATTTTTGTTCCATAAAATTACATTTGCAACTGACATCGTAGCAACTAAAACAGTTAGGGGGAAAATGACATTTAGAACCAAATTTAGAAGAGAGGTGAGGATTTTTTTAAAATGTACTACATGAAAACATATCACTGCAAAAGGAGGGAACTACTTCGGACTCCCGAAAATCAGTCGACATTTGCAGCTTTTTTAGTTACATTTTCCACCTTGTCTTTTGGTTCTTTACTTTAGACTGTCAGTTGCTCGGAATCACGACGTGTACTGGGTCAGGATGGAATCGAATACACTCTCTGCATCGGGTATGTCATTGTACAGATTTAAAGTTTTGTTCCCTCGTTCGTGGCCGCCTGTTTTGCATGCTGGGGACGGAGGAGTACATGTCATACAAGAACGCCGTTCCCCGACCTTATTTTACGATAGAGAAAATATTCCTGCCTCACCAACTAATCCAGAATGAATCCATACGTCATAACTCTATACTGCGTACTCAACGTTGCCGCAAATTATTTTAATATGACTTAATAATTTGGTTATAATTTGGCAAATTAACTCAGATTTTTCCCTTTTTTCCCTCGTTGTTTTTACAGCCTCTCTGTCAGCAGTCACCATGCCAATCCTCGTTTTCCTCCTTGGTGTAACCATGGCAACAAGCAACTAAATAGGACGTGGATTGAAGAGCACTGGACGTCCCCGGCCGGCCTGCGATTTTTTTTTCTTCTACCAAACGACATCCGCATATGGGTGTACGCTATGGCGTTTTGGACTTAACTTTTCTAAAAACACGAGAAGAAAATATAAAATGAATTCGCAGCCGGCCCCACGTTACAAAATATTTAAATAGGTCACTTGTTCTCTTATCCGACATTTTTGTTTGTACATTGTAGTTCTAAACAAAGAAATGTTTCAATAATTTCCCAAAATCTTATATCCGTCAAGTTCTTGTAAGTTTATGTTTGAAGATAGGAAAAGTGTCTAATTGATTATCATTGTTTGGTTATGCTCCGTTAGCCGAAAACTACATGAACAGTAGGCCTCGATGTATTGCACGTGAATAATTATAACAGATTGCTGATTCTTATTTTTGCTGCCCTTAAGTTGTGTGTGCTTTAAGTTTAATTTTGCAGTGAGATAGATCGTTGATTTGAATTGTATAAACTTTTTGTCATTATGTTGTAGGCTCGATCATTGTTCTGGCTCCGTTCAAATAAAAATTGCTGCCAGTAGCGAAGAGTGCGTTTATAGTTTCCTTGACTGATGTAGTTTCAGTGTATTCTTTCATAACTTAAAGTAATTTCGCGGCTGCATCATTAACTGCTCCCTTCCTCGAACTTATATGTTCTGGATCATACCTTGACCATTAATTTGATATAGCGCCCCCTACTGCATGCACCGTTCATTTGTGAGTTTTCAAAACTTCGACTCCGTTTTAGAATGGCTACAGTTATGGCTTCAGAATCATTCAGAAGCCTTTCGTGTCCACATCAAATGGAACATCTTAGCCTCATATTTTATGGTTCGATAATTGTGAAGGACATGGTGCCAGTATTGAGCCCAAGCGCCCCAAGTCAGGGCTAAAAAAATCTCATGAAGACAAAGCTGGAAATGAAGCCGACTTTTTAAAACGTCTCAAATTCCACGCACGACCGCAAAATAGTAATAGCGCCCTCATCGGCGTAACATCATTTCTAAATAAAGAATTCGACAAAATGGCCACTGCGATGGATGTAGATCCGCCGTCATCAAGTTCTGGAAGCAGCGTTAAAGGGGAGAAGAAACGGTTTGAAGTGAAAAAGGTGAAGTTTATTTAAGACGTGATGAATTGTAGATTATTATGAGTCTAAAACTGAATTAAAAATGAGGAATTAAATGGTTCAAATTGTAGTCCGGAATGGCATGTACGCTTCCCATAGTTTTCACGTTGGACCATTCCATTGCAATGGATTGCGATTGCCATGTGCATTGTGGGCGATATTACCCGAAGGCCTTGTGCAAATTTGCACATTAATTAGAAATGTGTTTCCTTGTCAACATTCAACCAACGTACCAAACGAAAGATTAAGGACTGCTTAGGTTACATAAGTTTTAAAACAGCAGGAATTAATGCTTTTTACTTGGAAATTTATAGTAAAATAGTAAGTTTCTAACTTTCATGACTTTCTTACCGATTTTGCACCTCTCTTTGTTTTAGCCCACTTTTCCACCAATGTCCACATGCACACTAAATCTTACGGTCCAAATGTCCACTTATGTAACAGCTTTGGGGTGTATAGAAACCGTTTTGACCCTCTGGCTCTAACGGCTTATTTCATTGGCGAATTTTCTAATTAAACCTCATTACCAAAGGCAGTTTAAACTAAAGTCAATTACCTATTGCAAAATGAAATGTAATGGTTTCAATTTCATCACGATTTCAAGTCACACGGTAGACAATGATAGAGGTGATCAATAACATTATATAGAGAGCGTCATCAACGTTGTAGAGGGAACTTCGTATTTTTATTCATAAAAATGCACAGTTGTAAACCTGTGTGCAGTTGGGGCTACCTGTCCTAGGTTATTGGACAAACCAACAGGTATGCGATAGATAGACAGCAGGAAGCAACAGTGAAGACGACAAAACAAAAAGAAAGATGGCAATCACGGCGACGGACAGTGAATATATGCAAAACCGTATTGATTCGCCTGGCACTTACCGTAAAACGTATAAGAAAATCACATTTTTCTACCACAAGAAACTGTTCAAATTTTTTAAAATGATGTCGTTAGAATAAAGAGAAGTCTGCTTTGGATTGGAAAAGTCATTTTGGAATGATAATAAAACCCTCAAATGTGATCAAAACAGAGGGGCTCTACATAAGGTAATCGCCTTAGTTATCCTACCAGCTCCGCTTTCATTTGTTTCATTTTTTTTTTATTTGTTCTTAAGACTTAGAGTGTTTCTATCATTTCAAATTTTCTTCTTCGGCCTTAAGCACTTAACTTTTACTTTGTTTTTGTTTTTGTTAGAGCAGTTTGTAAAATGGTCTTTTAAATTCAGACTATACTAATTTATTGCGGTAAATTTAAACTATCTGAATCATAGTGAATGTCCTTTGAATTGTTTCAGTGGAATGCCGTCGCGCTATGGGCGTGGGACATCGTGGTCGATAACTGTGCCATCTGCAGAAATCACATCATGGACTTGTGTAAGTTCTCGTCTGTTACTATCAATATTTCCCCCAAAATTACTCATTTACTAGATTCTGTGAATGTTTTTTTTTTAACACAGGTATAGAATGTCAAGCCAACCAAGCATCAGCCACATCAGAAGAGTGCACAGTAGCATGGGGAGTGTGTAATGTGAGTATTCGATATGTGTTATAGAATCACTCCGAAAATTTAGCAAACATCAGATGTGAGTGAGACCAGAATAAAGTTATAAGCTTAACCCTAACTCCCTAGGCCTTTTTGCTAGGATGTAGCCTCAATCCTGCAAAATCCTCCAATTGGCCTCGTGGAAAAATAGCATATAGCCTCAATCCTACAAATTCCTCTGTTGTTTCTTGAATATGGTCCATGGAGGGGTGACCACTGCCTGAATCCTGCAAAATCCTCCAGCTATGACTGTCAATAGGCTGAGGCAGAGGCAGTGACATCCTGGAGCAGTGCGGAGGATGTCAAGTATAATCAAGGACTAAATTTATGCACGGCTGAGCATAAACAACACAAGGTCCGGCCCAAGACCTTGACACAGTGCGTACTCCGAAATCAGCAACGCACTTTGGCCATGTAACCTCAATCCTGCAAAATTCCTCCAATTTGCAAAAAGGATTCTGGAGGATTCAGGGTTAGGGTTAATATAGGACAAGGCTTCGTCTCGCCCACCACGCGGGGCGGCAGCTTGGCCATCTTTCGCCGACTTTGCAGGCGAGAGGCGGCTTTGCCGTAACTCATCTCGTGAACAGCTCATGAACACACAGTCATGTTTTACTTCACTCTCAGGGACAAGGTTTTGTGTTTCCCTTTGTCCTTGTAATATAACACTCTCCCATAGACTAAGCACACAAACGCACAACCGAGGACTGATTTCAACAAAAGATGAACTCTTGAGGACAACAAAGAATCTGTTGTTCTTCCTTTGTCTATCTGTCCTCGGGGTGTATGTTGTACATGTACACACACATTCTTTTTCCATAACTGTGGGGATTACACGTGTTGTCCTATCATAGTAAAGCTTTTAACCAATCGAACACACACACCCTTTCTTCTTGATAGTGTAGCAGTGATTCTTGAATAATTACTCCCAAAACTATGAAGAGACTTTTATTTGTCTGTTTCAGCACGCTTTCCATTTCCATTGTATCTCTCGATGGTTGAAGACAAGACAAGTCTGCCCTCTAGATAACCGTGAATGGGAGTTTCAAAAGTAAGTAATCCCCACCCAAAACCCCCTTATTTTTTTAATAAATTGTATCATTGTTAGCTTTGTTGCACTGAAGACTGGAGCAATTTAGCAACTACATTCTGTGCTTTTTGTTACCCTTTATGTTGAAGAATACCACTTGCAAAAACTAATTCTATATTTGTCTTCTGTTTTGCAGGTATGGTCGTTAGCACTTTCAAGTACTCCGTGGTCCATGGTTGCATGTATTTATGTAGTTGGAACGCTTTGACCGAATCCATCAAAACGAGTCTTAAGGGCATTTTTCTTCTATCAGTTTTGCCCATGTGCAGTAGGAAGGAAATGTACAGTGATCTGTTCTCCAGTTTGATATGTCACTCAGTTTGACATTGTAAGATTTGTAAAAAAAAAAATGCCTATCACTGAAAAAGTAGTACTGGCAATTTAAGACTTAAGGGTTTTTCACACTGTCCAAAATCATGTTGGACTCAAGTCCAACACGGGGATTTCAGGAACTCCTTTCACACTAGCAATAATCCAACACGCCTTCTACCCGGGTAAAATCCAACCCTGGGTAAGACCAGGGTTGGGAGGCTCTATCCGGGTAGAAAATATCAAAATCTACAGCTGACCCTTGTACACCCGTTGTTAATGTGAACGGTATGATTTGTCTACCAATGTTCAATGCGATTCGGCTCTGCCTACAGTGGACCCTCGTCGATTTCAACTCGAGTAGTAATGTTGTGCGAACCTGACCCGAAACCAAAACCGACCCAACCCGAAACCGACTTCGGGTCAGTTTTGCCATCATTTTAGTCGGGTCGGTTTCAGTTTTGCGTTTGCGATTTTCAGGTCGGGTCGGGTCGGGTTGGTTAAGCCATCTTGTGAAAAACTTTCAAATAAACCGAAACAGTTTGGCATTTCACGCGGTGCAATATTATTGCAGAGTCACCGTGTCCGGTACAACCAACGTCAACCCACCGCTCAATTGTGCATGTGGTTTGCAGTCTATCACGCACCGTCTGTAACATGTAGGCCCACCAGTATGTCACGTTATGAGTCTTCACGGTATGATTCAGTTACTGAGACGATGATTTTCAAGCTACATGTACGCGGGCAAGTTCAGTCACAAAAAGCGGACACAGTATCCCAAGCCATATATTCAAGATTTGTCCGGGTCGGTTCGGGTCTGTTTTCCTTGAATTTTTGTCGGGTCGGATTTGGGGAGTTCAGATCGGTTTCGGTTAGGATTCGGTTTACACTTTTAAGTTTCGGGTCGGTTTGGCCTGGTCAACCCGACCAAATGCACAACATAAATGGGCAGCCGAGACAATAGTGTGGAAAAGCCTTTATTTTTGTTGGGCTCGGTCACTCGTTTTGAATTAAAAATATTGCACAAACCCTTGACAATAGGTACTCTCACTTGCTTTATTCATAATTCATAGTCATTAATAATGAAAGTCAATTTGGTATGCATAAGTTATGAACAGAAGCACAAAGAACTTCTCAGTTATTACTGTATAACACATCTGGTTGTCCTAGCGACACGTTTTGAGTGCAGTTGCTGAACGAACTAAATGTCAACGTATACGATATATTAATAGCCTTTTAATGCCTAAGGGGAAAGTTGGGTATTGCATTCGAGAGAACTACAAGGCTAGCAGTGTTCATCTATTTCAGAGATACATTTTTTTGGGTAAAATGTTGGACTTTAAAAATCAAATGATGAAAGTACATGTATTTAGGTAACAAATATTTCTTGTTAAACACACTTTGCGATGTGATTTTTAGTGGGAGTACATGGTGGATGAAGTTACAGTTAATCATAAGACTTTTTTAACCATTGATAAACAAATTTGCATGCTCAGTTAACTTACGGTCTTCAATTCAAAGTGGAGAAATTTGACACCTATGCACAAAATCTTTGCAAAAGTACAGGATTTGGCAACTTTTTTTTTTGGGAGGGGGGAGGTGTCCCAAGAAGAGTAGGTCTTTACCTGGAAGCATTTTTGTGAAAACCTAGAAGCTGATTAAAATTTTTAAAACTGTTTGCGCCCTTTTTGTTTTATTTTGAATAAATACCAGTTTCTTGTACTAAAAAATAACTATGTTTGCCTTTTTCTTTCCATGCGTGTGAATACTTTTCAATGGAATTTAATTCACAATCACCCAGAAATTTTGATTATTAAGGAATAACCTTACTTGAAGATGGGGCTGGTAGCAAACGTGCTATGAAATTTTGATCGTTTATCAATTTCAAAAGAACATTTTAAGTTACTCACTTTTTTTAACACATGCCAAAATGTAAATCTTTATATTGGCACTGCTTGGGCCAAACTTTAAATTTGTTTCTACATTAATTCCAATCAACAGACGGACTTGAAATTTCAGAATAAGAGCTTGCATCGATTTGCACTGTTTCCTGAGAAAAATGTAGTATTAACTTAAAGTTGAACAGGTCAGTGTTTTTCAAGGTGCTATTCCACGAAAAATTGGTGGTGTGTTCCCGTTGTTAAAGGAAATGCAAATGAACTTGTTTTTCTTTGAACTGGGGATAAAAAAAAGAAAATGAGCAAGAAAACAAAATTGATTTTGGTTTACAAGTGTACATATTTTATTCATCTTAATTATATCATAAAACAATCGGCAAAAGATGGCAGTCTGCGGTGAATGTTCGAGGACATGAGAGAATGAGATTACATTGACCTTCCAAGGTTGAAATAAGACAAAAACTGCTGGAACTAAATGGCCGATTTTGCGATCGTTATTTTTCCCTCTATCAATGTAGACCATCACTCACGCCCACTATCATACAAATTATTAATGTGGACGAGTGCAATGGTAAGAGTAATTTATGAGGTGACAGATGGAATGTTCCATTTTCCACAAGGCGAAGCCGAGTGGAATGGAACAATCCATCTGGATTGGCAAAGGATAGCAGTCTGCGGTGAATGTTGGAGGACATGAGAGAATGAGATTATATTGACCTTCCAAGGTTGAAATAAGACCCAAACTGCTGATACTAATATCGCGCTCGTTATTTCTCCCTCTATCAATGTACATCATCACTCACGCCCACTATCATACAAATTATTAATGTGGACGAGTGCAATGGTAAGAGTAATTTCATGAGGTGACAGATGGAATGTTCCATTTTCCACAAGGGGAAGCCGAGTGGAATGGAACAATCCATCTTTCACCGAATGAAATTATTCTTTCCTTTACACGCATGTGAAGCATTCATTATTTGTTTTATATAACACCTGAATATTTGTTATTTGATGGGCAGAGCCAAATGATTTATTAGTTCGGAAGTACATCTTGTCTTGTTTTTCCCCGTTTCTTCTTCTGTCAACTGGTTTAATCACTTCAAAGACAGAAATATTCACCAACATCAGCAAATATATCCCCAGCTTGTATGTTCAGGTTTTGCATCTATGCCCCCCCCCCCCCCTTCCGTAAATGCTGGAATGAAGAAGTTGACTTGAAAAGGATTTGAACATCTGCAAGGTCACAGGTCAATTTCTTTGTTCAAGCTTGTGTAATTAGAATTTAAGAAGAACTATTTTAACTGGCCCAATTTCACGGCGCTGCTAAGCACAAAAATTTGCTTAGCACAAAAAAAGTCTAGCTATATAAAAGCAGGTTACCAGCCAAAACTCCATGTGATTTTCATGCTAAGCAAACAACAGCTGAGCACTAATCACGAGCAATATACATCACGTGGAATTTTGGCGGGTAACCTGCTTTTATAAGCCAGAAAATTTCTTTGTGCTAAGCAAATTTTGTGCTTGGCAGTGCCGTGAAATTGGGCCCTGTTACCCTATTTGATTACCACATAATGCTGCATTGTGTTTGGGGTTTGGTCATAATTCATTGTGAACATTAGCATACCACGTAACACCACATTTCAACTCGGGTGAATTTTGTCGAGTGTTTCACATTAACAAATTTGCTTAGCATACACATTTGAAATAAGTACGAATCTTGGGCCAAGTTCGGGCAAGGACCATTAGTCGACTAGTGGTTGATTTGTGACGTACCTTACGCCTGCGCACTGATAGCAACGTGCGAACGTCTCTAGTCAAACGCTGGTCAAAATGTCGTCGCAAAACTTCTGGATCCTGGCTCCCTGCTTGCGTTATGAATGCGCGCGGCTGTAGGTTACCAGTGAAGCAACCAACCCCAGTAGGCTGGTTCCAAATAGTCGACTAGCGTAGTCAACCACCGTCGACTAGACAGAGTTCGGGCAAACGTTAGTTAACCATTGGTCAACTATAGTCCTTGCGCGAACTTGGCCCCGATTGGTGTATTGGGCTCCGTGCACAAGTACCCCCTCAACGGTAAGAAGGAGAGAGTTGGGAGAGACCACTGGGCGAGACATTCTAACGCATTGCTGAAAACGCCCTACGCTCGCGTGAAGAACTGAAGATGCTATGGCTTGGTGCACATTCAGATTAAAGGGAATATACAACATTTGCAAACATCGAATAAAAAAACTACCAAGTTATTACGAAATACCTTACTAGGATGGTAGTAAATGATAGTCAAAAGCATCCTGTAAAATTATGGCACCTGGTGTGAAGTCATTTTCAAGAAAATTGTATTGTTGTATACATTTCCAACGGTGGTCGACCGACCACCATTGGAAAAACCTAACTATTTTTCAATTACTGCTCCAAATTTACCATTTTTTCCAGTCAAAATTTTGTTTGCTGTTGGTTACATGTTCATGAACAGGTGAAAGCCAGCTAGACTGGTTCCCTTACCTTACAATTTTCTGGCATCTATAAATTGATCCATTTCATCTTTAGTGGAGTCGGGGAACCAGACTACTTGAACATTTTCTTTTTTCTTGGTTTTTCCAGCATTTTCGAACACAAAACTTCAAAAATGTCAGTGTAGCAATATTTGATCTATTATACAAACACCTCAAATAGTTCATTTTTGAAAATTGCAGCAAAAGCCAATGATGTACATTCCCTTTAAAAGAAGTTGTGAATACCTCCAGCTTATACGCACACAAACCAGTACGCGCACATAGTGTCTTGTCCACGGAGCTTTCAAAAGTAGTAAAAAAGCGACCTCTCTGTTTGTGCACGGAGCCCATAGCCAAACTATACCCATTGAGCATGTTCTCATATTTCAGTATCATTTTGCACTTTCATACCGAATACCACATATAAAGTAAGCTCTGTACACATTAACACAAATATTCATCGTCGTGAAAAAAATTGCCAGAACAGGGATCAAAGCACACTTAAAAGGGAAAATACAACATTTGCAAACATCAAAAAATAAAACTACCAAATCATTTTGAAATACCTTGCTGGACTGTTAGTGAATGACAGTGTAAAGCATCCTGTAAAATCATGGCACCTGGTATACTGTCACTTTCAAGAAAAGTGGTATTTTTGTATCAATTTCCAATGCTGGTCGGCTGACCAGCATTGGAAAAAACTGGCTTTTTTTCAAATACTGGCCCCAATTGACCATCGCACTTGTTTGCAATCGATTACACACCAATGAACGGGTACAAGCCAGCTAGACTGGTTCCCTGACCTTACAATTCCCCAATGTATGTAAACTGCTTTGTTTCTTCTTATATGGAGTCAGGGAACCAGACTACAGGAAAATGATTGTTTTTCTTGGTTTTTATAGCATTTTTGAAACCCAAAACCTCAAAAAAGTCAGTGTAACTATATTTGCTATATATTTCCAACCCCCCAATTCCATTTATTTCTGAAAATTACAGCAAAAGCAAATGATGTATATTCCCTTTAAACCCCAAAAAGAATTCCAAAAATACTAAGAGTTAAATACTACCAATACTGTAAACACCAATATAATTAACTTCAATAAATGCTTCAACCCGTGTGTTGAAAAAATATATATACTAGGCAGTACAATCTTCCATAAATTTTGATTCAAGTACGATTTGCTATAGAATAAAAAAACTGGCATAAACCCTGACAACGAGGTGCAAGACACAGAACGAGGCTGCAGCTGAATGACTACGGCTACGACTTGTAATTACACACGTGTCTATGGGCAGCGGCTGAAGCCACTTTCCATAGACTCGTGTGTTACTACTAGCCATAGTCGTAGCCACGTGATGCGGGCGCGGCCCAATTAGTGAGGTCAATCATCGGTTACAAAGTCGCATTTTAAGACGGTCGTCGCCTTCCGGAGATCCTTCCGCAGCGTATCTTCGTATTTGTCCCGGACGCGGCTGAACTCCATGATGTCGCGCGGCTTCTCCGCTAGCCAGAACTTGTCAAAGTTGAAGAAAACGTGGCCTGTGGGTGAAAGATGAGATGATGAGAAGTATAAATTGGAGTTTTTGAAGGCAGGTCAAACCACACGAGCATGTGCTCAGAAGAAAGCTGAGAATCTAATTTATTTGAAGAAAATTCTGCTCTATGGTGTGTAGTGTAATTCATGGGTTAAGCAAGATATATCTGCTTGCGTGCCTGTGTACATTTTGTAACTTTGGATCTAATGCTTAGCGCTGAATTCCGTGGTAAGCATAATGATGAAATTGCGTCCTTGCTTTGAGTACGTGGTAGCCCTGGGCCCAATTTCACGGCACTGCTTAACAGTTAGCAGAAAAGTTGTGTTTAGCATAGCAGAAAAATGTGCTAACCTTAAGCACTATTTCACGGCGTGGACGTGCTAACGGTCGCGCATGCATGGAGATTTCTGTTGTTACGTCACTAAGTTAAGCAAATTTTTCCTCCGAAGTAAGCGTGCCTTTTGCTGTGCTTATGCTTACGGACTCCATGAAATAGATGGAGGCTCTGTTAGCAGAAAATCATGTGCTTAGCAGCGCCGTGAAATTGGGCCCTGTTAAGTTACTGTATGTGTATAAATATTGACTTAATGACAGCCAACGACAAATATTAACAAGGACAATACATAAACAGTATTTCTAATGCTTTTAATGTAATGAATATGTAGACCCAGTTTTTGTTTATGGCTGGAATGTTTCAGATGTTGGGGGTGGGGCTTGAAGGGGATGGGGGGGGGAGGTGGTTGGACATGCGTAGCATCTACCAAAACCACCCTGCCGAGGTGTCGCCCTCGCTTAATTGGTCATGCTCTGCGGAGACCTGAAGTCCCTCCTGCTGTCTTCCTGAACCCCAAAAACCAACCATCAGAGCCTTCCGACAGAAAGGAAGCCTGCGTCGTACCTATCTCTCACAGATCATAGACGCCCTTAACGCCATCGGCCTTAGACACGATCAGGCTGTTCGTGCTGCCCAGGATCGGGCTGGATGGCTGAGGCGAATCGCAAGCATTAGATAAAACAATTATTCACAACGTCTCAAGTCGAGTACGACTCCAGTAGTGCAACTAGTAGGGTTTGGAGGGAGAGGGGGAGGGGATGGGGGAGGGGGTTTCTATCGCTACACTTACAGTAAATCCGGTGAAAGTCCTCCAGCGATGGTTTGCCCCTGACGTGGTTGTACAGGTGTGTCTTAAGTGCGCCATCTTGAAGTAAATGGTAGGCAGTGCTAGTCATATTGATGCCCACTACTGCATAAGAATACCTGCAAGAGTGAAGATGTTAAAATTTGTAAGTCTTTACATTTTATTAAGTTTTCATCATTATTTTTTTGGGGGGGGGGGAGTGTTATAAGAAGATGTTTGAATGCTAAAATTTGATTATTTGGAACTAGCTGGCAAGACGTTCTTTGCTTTTTCTCACACTGCCCAACTTGGAGGCTCAATTATGAAAATCTGATTTTCAAAACTTTACGTCTTCAAAGTAATGTCTAAGATCTCATCCCCTTCCAAATTGAAAGACGGGACCACAACTTGATAACGTGGGTAGTTATATAAAGTGCCCTTCTGCCAAAATACACCTGACAAAAATTCATAAATAAGTATTACCAAGAACCCCATGTTTTGGATGGTATGTTGCCATGGTTTCAAGCAGTGTATACAAAAAATAACTGAAATGAAATTCCCTGCATCCTATTTGCCACAGCATTGCAATACACAAGTACACATATCTTATCTTAGCAGCTGAGTTTTAAAAACTGAGTTTTTTTGGTTATTTCTCACCAAAAACAATGTTCTATTCAAGACTGACTCACCCGAATTGTGGATGATGGGAATGTGAGAGGACGTGGCGGGCAGCTTTGTTGTAAGTCTCCGCAAAATATCTGGTCAGCAAAGAAAAATGAAAATAAACCCAAACAAGCTAATTTAAAAAAAAATAAAAAAAATTACATGTATCTCTCATACAGCACACGGCTGAATTTGACTCTTACAAAAGTCCAAAACAAGAACAAAAAATTGTAATGAATCTGACTGAAGATTCTTTTTGTGTATTAAACAAACTGACAAAATTTGTCCAATTTCGTATAGAGTAATGAAATATGAAACGCACTAGGGAAAAAATGGTTCAGGTTTAAACACAATACTTACATTAAATTAAGTAGCCCCAGCATACCTGAAATAAAAAGAAGGAAAAACAAAACGATTAAAGAAAGAGTTGCAACAATATGTGAGCAATCACATACTAAATCGTTATACCACACGATCCATTCAATAACTGATGCAGAAAGAAATTCAAACAATGAATTCAGTGATCGCAAGTATGAACACGCAAGAGGCTTGGAACTTAACAAATCATTTCTATTTTGTTCTTACCCATTCCCCGAAAGTCCGTAGCCGGGTCGTCCCCCTGGAACCCGATGGTGCCCCATTGTTTGCTGATGCGCCCCTCTAGCTGTGTGTCAGGCATCAGTAGGTTCCAAAGCTGTCAAGTGACAAAGAGTGAATGGGGGATGTTTGTTAATTGTGGGATGAGTCAGCCGGTCGTAGAGGAAGTTGTTGTCACGCTCGGTGAGTGTGTTTGGTTATTTTCAGTTGAACAGAGTTGAAGTCAAGTTAATTACAAGCAAAATCAAGTCAAATCACAACTTCACGAGTCAACTTACATACTATGTACAAGTCCATCACAAATTGATCACAGGTCAAATCACAAGTCCATCACAAGTCATATCACAAGTCATCACAAGTCCATCACAAGTCATATCACAAGTCCATCATAAGTCCGTCACAAATCAAGTCACAGTTCCATCACAAGTCATCACAAGTCCATCATAAGTCCATCACAAGTCAATTCACAAGTCCATCATAAGTCCATCATAAGTCCATCACAAGTCAATTCACAAGTCATCACAAGTCAAATCACAAAACCATCACAAGTCAAATCACAAAACCATCACAAGTCCATCACAAGTCCATTACAAGTCCATCACAAGTCCATCAGAAGTCCATCACAAGTTCAACACAAGTCAAATCACGAGTTCATCACAAGTCCATCACAAGTAATATCACAATTCCGTCACAAGTCAAATCTGTCACAAGTCAAATCACAAGTCCGTCACAAGTCAAATCACAAGTCTATCATGTCCTTCACAGTTCAAAACACAAGTCAAATCATAAGTCTGTCACAAGTCAATCACAAGTCCATCACAAGTCATATCACAAGTCAAATTACAAATCAAATCACAAGTCCATCACAAGTCAAATATAAATTGCTCTGTTTCATCTTAAGTGGGGTCAGGGAACCAGACTACAAGAACATGATTGTTTTTCTTGGTTTGTCTAGCATCTACGAACACAAAACTTCAAACAAGTCAGTGTAACAATATTTGCTATAAAATACTACCCCTCCCCTAAACCCATCCATTTCTGAAAATTACAGCAAAAGCAAATGTTGTATATTCCCTTTAATTCCTATGAGGAGGGTCCCAATTGTAGCAATTGTCTTGCCCAAGGACAAAAGCTCTATTATCCCAAGCTGGTGGTTAAGTCTGTATGTTTGGATGTCTATGCCGCTGTAATGGACGCCACATTTGGCGCCAGAATCACTGGACCACAACGTCCCAGATCTATGACGAACAGCTGGAAAACTTAAGGGGGTGGTTTTGAATGAGTGATTCTCGTGTAAACATTTATTCATTCAATTGCTCATGCAAACATGCATGAATTCATATCTCCAACAATGAAGAACAAAAAATGGTTGAACCATTGTTTTTTGGGGAAGGAGTGGGGAGGTTGAACATATAATGCATCCCCAATATCATTACCAATGTCAACTTAATGACAGATTTCCTACTTCATATGTTGCATGGGCACAAAGCTGTTTTTCTTCGCTAAATATAGAAAAAAGGGCGCATCACTTAAGTGTGATTACATCTGACTCATAAAATAAACAACATGCGTTTCCCTTATACTTTTCCGTTTGGATTCTGTTAATCATTTAGAACTCTACACATCTCAGTTTTATAAATTGGTTTCCAACAATATTTTTTTCCGGGAGTTTTCCACATATAACATTCTTGATGTTTTTTTTCTGGTTTGGGTAGGAATCCTTTGTTTCATTACCAGATAATAACAAAAACAATGAAAGCAATTTGGTTTGAAATGTAGAAACCAAGTCATGGACATTTCCTGCATTAATCTCTTGGGAACTTACTGACAAATGGACCATTCCAGATTTTAGCTCCGCCCACCTTTGGGTTGTGTACATTTCTCACAGTGCTTGTGACTGAGTTTGAATGAGCTACCCTGGTCACCTGATCAAAAGGTGTGACCTGATTGGTCATTGTGCACACTTTGATTGACAGGCAGGGAGGGTCCATTGCTTTACCTTGATGAGTTATTCTTCAAGGTCTTACCTCGTTGACTGATGCAGTTGGACCATTCCAGATTTAAACCCCGCCCACCTTTAGTTTTCATACTGTGTTTGACTGAGCTACCGGGGTCACCTGATCAATAGGTGTGACCTAATTGGTCAATGTGCACAGTTTGATAGCCAGGCAGGAAGAGTCCATTTCTTTTACCTTGATAACTTTTTCTTCATGGTCTTGTCTTGTTACCTGATATGCTTCTTTTCTGACTGCCTCGACAATGGACCATTCCAGATTTAAGCCCCGCCCACATTTGGTTTTCATACTGTGTTTGACTGAGGTACCGGGGTCACCTGACCAAAAGGCATGTTCTGATTGGTCAATCTGCACTATTTGACTGACAAGCAGGGAGGGAGGGTCCACTGCTCTTACCTTGATAAGTTTCTCTTCATGATCTTGCCTCGTTGATTGATACGCTTGCTTCCTGACTGCTTCAACTTCAGCGAACAGATTCCTGTAGCCACAGATCTGCTCTAAACACCTCTTCAGCGAGGGTACAAAGCTGCAGAAATTCAGAATACAAATAAATTATGTTTTTCTAATGATTTTGTAGCAACAAACTGCTGAGTGACTCATTGCTTTTTACACAAGGAATGAATCAAAAAGTACCACAGCTTTCTAGCTTAGGTTACAATAAAGTATATTTCAAACTCAAGTCTTTGGGTATTTTTGCTAGAAACCCTAGTGAACCCTCCAAAACCAAACTTTTTGTACAGTAAACAACATTTCAATGTAATAGTGCACAGAAGCTGGGTTCTGCAGTCTCAAATTTTCAAAATACTGTAAAATCTGGGAGTGAATTTCAATATTCTTCAAGGTTGTTGGGGCCTTTTAACAAGAACTCATCTGAAAACTTTTCTCTAAAAAAAAATATCAAGTTTTAGAAGCTGAGCCTATACTTTCAATACTTCAGTCTGGAGTCACTTCAGAGAAAGTCATTTTGACCTGGATAAAAATCACACCATGGTCAATCTCAAAACTAAAAAAACCCTGAATTTTGTTTTTAGAAAATTGACCCATGTTTGAAATCCCACTGTTTGAGCTGGGCATCAGTTTTGAAGCATACACGTAAGTTTTGCTCATCTTTTGGAAAGAATTCCTACAAATGTTGCCTAGCACGACGAATGTACGTACTCTGGATTTTTGCTGACGTCTATTCCTTTGACAGCTGCTATGCCTTTCACGGCGTCGTTGATATTGACATCGTCTTCTTCAATGACTCTCCGCAAAGCTCCACATTTGGAGTTTCTTAACGAGCTTTCTGTATAGATGAAAAACAACGAAAATTTAGGACCGATGCTTTAGTTGGGACATACTGTATTGTTAATTGGTTCCAAAGTCTCATTCGGTTGTTCTGAGAAGTCCGCGTGATTGTCAAAACTCACCAATTTTTTTGGTCTTCTTACTGTCCAGCTGGTCTCCAGAGCACAGTCGTTGCAGCTCATGACTGCCCGTCAATACGCGGATCACCCATTTGAACATGCGTTGGTACAGCCACGCAAAGTAGGCGTACAACCAGCCAAAAAGCATCTCAAACTATCGCATATGAGCAAATTCCCGATCCCTGCAATTTTTCAATCCCTGCAGAAAAATAAAACTAAAGAACGATGAGAAAAAAGTGAAATAAGTTATTGGCAAAATTACCTGTTTACCTGACAATGTGTGCTGTTTTAACATGTTTAAACACTTCTTGCAAACATCACATGACTTTACATGTGACCAACCCCCATAGCGCTAATATTAGTTCCCCTCTTCTTTCTCCCTAGCCCCGCCCATTCAATCAATCAAGAGTGTGTATTGTTGGCAGCATTTGTGTTGGCACTTTTTTGATCGATCAGAAATTCAGAATAATAAACAACGGTACAGAGACACTTTGAAACAAAGTAAATCAGAGAGAAAGGCACTCAAAAACTCTCAAGAATATCATTGTTTAAAACATGAAATCATAAACAGCTTTGTTTTAATCGTTACCGTGACAGCGGGACAGCAAAAATTCCGCAGTTTCTTGTCAGGACCAAAGTTGACAGTTTTTCACTGGTTGTCGCTGAACATTAATTAATGCACGCGTAAAAGCATGCAGGGAAAATACGGACACCAGTTTTTATTGGTACTACGGAAGCCGGTGTAAGACCAAACCAAAAGTCTGTGGATGAAAGGCACACGATGGATGGTGATCATGTAGATCCCCTATCTATAAATACATTTTCCCGCTAAAAAGGGTTGTTTGAAAGCGTTGACTACTTTATTGTTATCTATCTATAGTCGTTTTCTCAGACAGTACAATACTTAAGTGTTTTTAAGGTCCACAAAATTACCATGATAATGATCATTTCTGAAATAACATTACATTTTCACTCTTCCCAAAGGGGCTGAAATTATGTAATTGCTTCACACTTTTTATGTAATTGCCTCACAACATTTCTTTCTAGTTGGCGCGATTAGCTAAACTTAAAACCTAATGAAATCGGATATGCTGATAACAATCATTTACAAAGACTTTTTTATGAAGGAAATGCAAAAAGTTGGGGAAAAATAACGTACTGCCACCGTTTAGGTGTAATCTTTTTTATGGGGGGGGGGGGGAGAGACATTAATGGGGGCGCCTTCCTTTTAAGCTTTTATTTTTTTGAGTTGATACTCATTAATAAAGTCTGGTCATAGTTTCAAGACATATCTTGTTTAATTGCATTTCTTTTTAATAAATTTGATCAATATAATTATATAGTCATATGATTCAACTAACTGAATTGGGCATGGTGAACCACATGCACCCACGTAACATTTCGCAATCACAAACTATTTTTAATGATATTGCAAACATATTAGAAAGATAATCAGTTGATCCTTAATCGAATTGAGTCCGCTGTATAACAAGTTTACATGATCGATACCACACACACAGTTAAGTTTAGCTCTTTGTCATGTAAATTAGCCAAAAAGTAAACATTGATGATGAGAATCGGTTGTGATGTGACTGGGAACGGCGCGCGCTAAAGGGCTCCCTCATATCATCACTGACACAAAAGCAACACGGCGTGTGTGGGATAAATGCAATACCGTACAATCCTAATGTAATTAGTACAATCATGGCGGTTTTCGGGAGAAGCGAGTTACACAGTAACGGAATGGCACATATGTGGCTTACCCTCGCCCTCAGCATTCTACAACTACTCCCCACTCACCTCGACACTGTAAAGGCACAAGGACAAGGTAGGAACTGTTTTTTGACCATTTCGGTATCGGGAAAGGGGTAAAAATTTGGAGTAAAAATTGCCGTATTTTGCGACTGCTTTGCGGAACTTGCCATACCGTGCACAATGTCAATGGGCTCATCATGATCATAGACACAGCCATCCACATTGTGCACGCAGCTTCGCGGTCGATTACATGCGCGCGATCGATATGTCGTTGCCAACCATCGAATTTGCCTTTTAAATGACAGTTTTGGGGGGCTTTTTCCTAATATCATACGCATATTATCTGATGAAATCATATTTTGCTATCAGAAAATGTCAAATAAAGACATGAATTTTGTTTATGATTTATGTCATGTTTGTTTACTTTTTGTAAGTTAATTGACATAATGACAACATGGGCTCTGCATGCCGTGTGTGCACAAAAATACAGTTCAATAATTTATGTATTCAAAATGAAGGAAGGATAGTGGAACTACAAATAATTTCTGTTGATGACAAGTCTTCAGTATTTCAGGGTGTGCCCAGTTTTGATGAAAATTAACATGTTCATGATGTTGTAAATTAAATTTTGGTAACATAAATGATTGGAATTACCTCATGAATTTGGACCAATGTCTTTCTGTTTACAGCATTTGTGCAGACAGATCTAAATGTGAACGAACTGCGCCATCTCGTTGAGGAAGTTACTCTTAAGGTAATTTTAAAAAAAGTTTTTCAAATTTTGTTGAGTCAGTTTGGATGATAAGGCCAAAAGATAATAGTTCTGCTTCCGGTTTCCGTACCTACCCTTTTCTGACAGCCCCTACCCTAATTTGTTTTATGGGAAAAATGAGAAAAAAAACACCCCAAACCATCAATTTCTACCTTTATTCTTGACTACGCACAGACACCTCCATATGATCGTACACAAACAAATTGGCAAAAAAAAAATCCCCTACCTATGTACCCTGTTTTCAAATGCCATGTAATCGGAAGCAGAATTTTTTTTGTGGCCTTATATTAAGTTTACTCAGTTTTTCAATGTAGTTTTTCAATGTAGCTTTGTAAAAAATAGATTTACTTAAAAATGCATTTGTCTTGTCATTCTTTATACTAATGGTAATCATAAAGCAAAAAAAAAATAATAAAACGAAAGAAAAGGGACAGTTGTGAAATAAACAAAATTAAAAATGGAAAAAAATAATGTTATTTCTGAAAACCATTTCGAGTGATTTTCTGTGTAAACTGGCTGCTGTCATCGTGTCAACTCAAAATGTTTATTTTTGTTGTCCTTTTCAGGGCGATCTTACAAACCAGGGTCTAAACATTCATGATAAAAAGTAAGTACAAATTTCGTTGCTGCTTTCTGAAAGTCTCCTCAGATAGCTATAGACCTTACGCGTAGCAGCCATCTTTGAGGGCAGTGCCTTTGTTTCAAAGCTGGGATATGCATGAGAGAGCCTTTTGTAGATTCCTTGTTGCTGAATTAAAAGATATCCTCTATTAAGATGGCCGCTACGCATTTAGGTCTTTCCAAGCTTGCCAATAATTTTTTTCAATTGATGTTTTTGGTATTTACAGTGAAATCTCGAGTCAAACCTCAAGGGAATGGCTCAAATTTTGAGTTTAATAGCAGGTTTGGACTTATCGAGATTTCACTGTATATGATTAACAGTTTTGATGAGATATGAACAAATAAATTTAAATTTCCTGTCTCGAAAAAAAAATAACATTGCTTGGAAACTGTGTGTGCATTGTACCTCCTGAACCTGTGGAATATGTACATTCAAAGGAATATTTGCACTTACTCTTGAAACTTTATCAGTGCAGTATAAACCACATGCATCCTACGCTGTACACAGGAGGTTAGCCATGTCCTCTAGAAAAACAACCCTTAAAGGGAAAATACAACATTTGCAAACATCAAAAAACGAAATGATCAAATTATCACAAATACCTTACTGGATTGTTAGGAATGACAGTCTAAAGCATCCTTTTAAATCGTGGCTCCTGGTTTGCTGACATTTTCAAGAAAAACTGCATTTTTCCAACGCTGGTCGGCCGACCAGCGTTGAAAAAAAACTGGCTTTTTTTCAAAAACTGTTCTGAATTTTTCATATTTTAGTTTTCTGAATTTTCTTTGCAATTGATTACACACCTCTGAAGGGGTACAGGCCTACTAGACTGATTCTCAGACCTTACAATTCCCTAAAGTGTATGGTGCTCCGTTTCATCTTACTGGGGTCAGGAAACCAGGCTACAAGAACATGATAGGTTTTCTTGGTTTTTCCAGCATCTACAAGCCCTAAATGTGAAACGTGTCAGTTCAACAATATTTTCTATAACATACTAATCCTCCAAATCCAATTATTTCTGAAAATTGAAGCAAAAGCAAATGTTGTACATTCCCTTTAACATATTACATTCAGTCATATTTTCTCTTCAGTTCTGGTTTAGTGTGTATGGTGTATTTGTAAACAGATACATGTATGCAGTTACATGTAAACCAATCTCATTTGTTACACTTCCAATGTGTGGTATGTACTCGTGTGCCTATGGCATTGGCCAGCATAATTGCTCACGAGAAAACGATACTGGTATTGTTGAGAAACTGTGTCATCTTTTTTGTTAATGAAAAAGATCTGCGTTTATTGGTTACCATGGGCAGCTGCACTGATATAATGTTCAAAGGTTGCTTTTTTTTGTTACCGTACATGTATGCATGTACAATGTACATGTACATATGCAGCATTGACATTTTGCTGGTACATGAAGTAATGGGAATGTGATGTCACTCTATAGTCGTACACCGAGGGTGTTATGAAGAAAGCATCGTTTTATGAACTAATCTTTGGAATATGCCTATTCAATTGATTGTAAAACAAATAAGCTTCACAAACATTTGTGGGGGTTGTTTGTTCAAGAATTAACATATCAAGCCCTCCGATTTGGTTTATTTAGTTTTCATTAAACATATTAAGAAACTACAAAAGAAATGACAAGTAGAAAGTCTTCAATGAATTATTGTTTTTAAGACAAACTTTGATTGTATAGCATGTATAGTGAAAGTTGAGAACATCGTATTCATTGCAGATTGCATTGTAGGCAAATGTTGTACATGTATGCATGTATACTGAGAGCAAATAAACTCTTTGAGTACATGTACATGTACATACAATGTAGTAAAGGGCTCACAACATGAAGTTTGGTATTACTGTTGCAAATATAGTATAGTAAGGGCTCACTACATAAAATTTGATACCAAAACCTGTCTAGACGCCATGTAGTTGACTGCCATTTCCACGCAAACAACGGCCAGTTTAGCAATGGTAGTGAACCATCCTTGTGCTTGGGAACTGAAGTGCCTTCATTGTTGGTTAGCCTTGGTCCTGCCTTTTAATATTCAAATTCTATTCAGTCGGCCATGGAGGTTGGCCTCACAAATTTCTTTACCAAGGATATTTTGCTCCAGGGGCTGCATGAATGGCACGGGGGATATGCATCAAGAGGCAGCAGTGAACTTGCCATTGAATTTGACTTTTGTGTTGTTGTTTACTTAACTATGAGCGTGAAACCGACTTCATCAAAATGCACGTATGCTGCCAGAGACTTTGTAAATTTATGAATTGAGCTCAGCTACTTTATGCCATTACTATGAGGCCCGACCCTAGTTTTTTGTAAAGGAAAAGCTATTGGCTTACTTCATACAATTCAGAAGTTAAAGGGAATATACAACATATGCAAACATCGAAAAATAAAACTACCAAGTTTTTACGAAATACCTTACTAGGATGTTGGTGTGACAGTCTAAAGCATCCTGTAAAATTATGGCACCTGGTGTGAAGTCATTCTCAAGAAAATGGTATTT